GCAATACGAGCTATTTGCCTTGCAGTCGTATAGTGACAGAAAGTAAACATATGCGCCCTGAAAAGTGTGACATTGAATTTAACGCAGGTTGACCCATGGAACCCACGAGCGCATAGACGGAAGACAGGGGTCAGCCATTCATAGGTCGATAAACTTGGATCTCAGCAAACAATCAAACACTCGCATAACAACATGGACATCTAGATCTCAGTCCGACATTTAGAGTGCCTCTAAATCGAACTAGTAGCCCAGGATTCCAAAGGTAAAGTACACATAGAGCGTGTATGGAGTATCGAGTACCTAGATACGTATAGTAATTCACCATTTGTAACGGTAAAAGATACATACAGACTACAGTTTCAATTTGCCGATTCAATACCGAAGCCCACTTAGTGCAATTCCCTTGAAAGAGAATGGCGCAGCAATCCCCTCTGATGGAGAACCAACAAAGAAATGATTGAAGATTCGCACTCCTCTCCACACGTCATACTCCACAGTTCATTTGGCTCGTAAAGTGCAGTGTACCTCCTTATTCATACGCGCAGTCCGGGTCGACATCCGCGAAATGCCTAGAAAGCCACCAGAAGACGTGTGGGACGCGCAGAGCTGTGGATTGGCTGACACGTTCCCGCACAACGGTTCAGCCGGTACTTGAGGGGCTAAGGAATAGGAAGTCTCGAGCTTCGGCGCCCCTATTCCTTATTCCCCAGCGCCACCGTTACTACGTAGGTATTAGACCTGTCTAGGGCTCGGAGGCCGGTGATCGACGGAAGAGATTACACCGGCTGTATATTCCGTGTTCACGGAAGATGCCGTGTCGCGTTGCAACGCGACCGGGGTGCGGCGCCACGCGTGAGATATTTCTTTGTCTGCTTTGTGCGGCATCTGAGGTCTTCAATCTAAAGGGGGCGATTCGGGTCTAGATGACACTCGAGAGCTGCACGCCAAAGTCCCAAAATTGGATCAGCATTTCCTTTTTGGCGCGGCTTGGTACTTAAAGTGGGCTAGCGGAAGAGCCCTCCCGGTCCCAGGGACAAAGCCTCGGATTGCGCTGGTGGGTTTTGGCTCCTGTCAAGGGGTTTGAGGATTTACAATGCGTATCCTTTCGTGGAGCTTGATGCATATTATGGTCATCTATCCACTTTTGAAGTATTTTGAGATTTCGAATTGGAGAAAATTCTGCGTTGATTCATTTTTACAGGGTCCATGCTTGCAGGCAGAAACGATATCCATATTACCGGTTCCTCACTCTAAAATCAATGGCTCAACGTCTGCAACTGCCGATAGAGGGGGGCAAATTTGCCGCGGTTGCTAAGTTTCCGCAAGGTTCGAGTCCAGAGCTTACTAGTAGACTATTTTGAAGATCGTCCTGGCCCGATATTGTGAAAGGAATCTGTAAACTCCGCGGCTTGTCGGGTCTCTTTTGTTTGAAACACGTGCCTAAACTTGTATGCGGGACTAAGAGTCTTCCCTGCCTGTGCTAAACATACCAGATCTTGCGCAATGAACAGGGGTTTGGTAGTGGGGGGCGCGCTAACAGAGTTAGTCTGGCCTATCGGAAAAGCACTGGTGGCAAAACAATCATCGAAGAGTCTGGGCAAGCGGACCAGAACTGCTGCCTTTGGGGTGGAGGAAAGCGCCTGGTAAGAGAGAGTATAGTGATACGTATAGTGGTATACTGGTATTGATAGTCGCAGTGTTGATCTATCGTTTTCCACGATGATAAAGACGGTAGACTAGCGGTATCGAAGCGCATCGCGAGTTGGTTTCCGGCCGTTGCGACATTCAATAGTTCCAACATCCAGCATGCTTAACTACACTATATATTTCAATGGTGGCCATGAACCCCTTTCCCCACACACTTCCCGCGGTGCGTTCCTTAGGGACGGGACAGGAGAGGGGTATGATAGGTGTGAAATGTCTCTATCATCACTTTCGGGACGGCACGGTAGGGATCGTCGCGTCACTGTTTGGCGAGGTGATAGAGGCGTGTTTTCGCGTTGTTAATGGTTACGACCTATCGATGTAGTTTCTTTGAGGAGATGTTGCTGTAGATTATTGGACCTCATGCTTGGCCCAATATTGAGTGAGACGCTATTGACTGGCAATGCCTTGGTGAAAGGGAAACATGTGCCTGGTTCAGGGGTTGGAAAGTCACGTGGATTTTGCACGTATTGGAGAGATGTACTGTGTATTTCTTAACATTTGCTGGCCATCGGTCTTCAATTAATATATTATACATATTGAATGGAGTGTCTTCTTTTTGAGCCAGGCGTAACAACCTCCACTACTCCACTCTATACTCAGCTCGACGTAAAAAGTGGCAATTGCCTTACGGAGTACAGTTGTGTTATTTTTGAATGTGGGCATAGAGCTCGAGCCTTCAGGTCGATCAGCTTCTGTCCTTTCTCATTTGGCCCCATCTGGCTGAGCGAATTATTCACAGAACAATCTGTTCTAGGTTGTTCAAGCAACACTTCCGCTTAACCTAAAAGAGACTCGTTCATAAACGAAGAGTTCGCTTCAGTGGAGTACTGCGCTGGAGCTCGAATGCCGCGGATAAAAATCGGCATCTACATGAGTAGAATGGCTTTGCTTTTGCCATGGATTGATTGCACTCCGCTTTCACTGTTGATCCCTTCTCGACGGGAGATGTCGGGTCACTTTGGGTCATGACAAAACAGAAGGAAGCGAGAAGGATTCCTCATTTTGAGTATTTGTGATCAGGAACAGGAACATGCATCTACAGAATTCCCCGGACAGTCTCTGAGAGGTTAGGATGTCCGAGTCTCAAGGACGGGATCTGACCCGGGATCTGACCCGCGATCCATCCTTCACCCAATCCCACTCCCCACGAGCAGGTCAATGTCCTTAAAGGGGTATCTCCCCGGGCGATCAGCACTTCAGTCTGCAAGAGATGTGACCAGAATCTCCCAACTCAACCCGTGACAGCCAATCTTCAGCCGAGGAATAGAAACAAGAAATAAGGAACATCCGACAAAATGTGCACATCACCTTTATTCCTGCAGATGCAGCTATGCGCTCGTTCGATTTCTAAGCTCTTCACCGTGCCGAAAGTGGTTCTGTGACTGTCAGATCAAACTTTAGCAGGAGACAATTTCCACCCTCGTGCAGAGCACGAGGCAGGCCCCTTAGTGTGCTCATGTGGATCGACACCTCCTCCCCCGAGAGCGGGAAAGATTGAGTTCAGCTACTCACCAAGTGAAATTGACCACGGCAGGTTCCGTGTCGTCAAGCCGACCTGCAGAGACAATGACGCTCGAGGCGGACAGAAATCTGAATTATCGATGCTCGGGCCCGTCTTGGGACCCATGGCAAGGGCACTGGGTCACGCCGTTCTTCACGCTTGACGATCCGGGTTGGTTCCTTTTGTCAAAGGGGGCTATGATCATTGACAATCTTTGGGAGATTGTTTCCCCCTTTTCAAGCCTGGGGCGGCTGTAGACTGAATACCCGATCAGGAAGGTGAGAGATGTCATTGTTACGACCCGCTTCCGGATACCTTCTCCATTACCGCGAACCTGAAATGGCGTATAGGTTTGCTGTGGCCGAGCAGTTGGCCCCAGTGTTCGGTATTTATGCGTCACGCTGCATAATGTGGATACTGGTACAGTATTTTAGGTTGGCGGTGAACTATCAGATTTGGATAGCGACTGTGTGATATGAGTCCACGGGTGCGAGTTGTGGTGGGCCAACCCGCCATCCAAGTTCAATTTGAAACAACTGACCGGCGGTAAGGCTATCAATAGAACGTGATATCTTTTCAAATGTTATTTTCGTCTTGCATGCTCTTTTATTGTGGATCTGTGGGCCACTCGAGGAGAGACGCGATCACCGTGAATACCGGTCTGATTCTTTTCAGCTAAACTGTAGTCACGTTCAATTCAAGATAATGCCAATGCCACCGAAATGGCAGGAAACTGCAACGTCCCGTAGAATATTGAAGATACGCTTAAATATTGAGGAAGACTATATTGGAGGCAGAAACGAGAATGATTTCAATGCATATATGCATATATATATATATATATATATATCTTGGGCCTAACATGACAAAACCTCACAAAACTAATAGCCTTAAATTCAAAAAATGTACACATTCCTAACAACAGAAAAGAGAGAAAGAATCGCCGAATGTCATTTAATTATTGTCAGTAATGGTATATTCAAAATACTACAGTCATTGTGCCCACCAGCCCTGGAAAACGTCACGCATACTAAGCCACTAAGCAAATAGTGATAACAAATGCATTGACGTTTACATGTTTATCAAACCAAAAGCAACTGTGTAAGTTCAAAGCAATGACAAATGTAACCACAAAAAATGTGTAGCTTTTGTTGTGTCCGAAGGTATTCAGGTATTCAAGGGTTGAACTGAGCCGATATCCCTTGCTTCAATGGCGTTTCACCATGCTCGAAGAACCTTTTAAACATATCATTTACAACCTCGAAAACAATAAAAGCGTGTTATGATCTGTTCTAGAGACTTGACCAAGTGCAATCATATCACTAATCATACAATTTTGTGAATGACCGCGAAATGTTGACATCGTAATATCCGAACCCTAACTTATACCCAACCGAGACGTCCCAGACGCGTCGCGTATCTAAATTCCTCACGTCGAGGCAAGACAATTCCATGAAAGGAAGGCTTCAATCCATTGGAATGAGCTAGTTCCATGCTTTTCAAGCTCCCTGTCACAAGATCCTAGCCCAGGGCACTCTAGCAGGGAGAGGCGATGATAAGAAGAGCGAAGCCCGCACCGTTGCATTCATTCCTTTAGTTGAGTTTACGTTTCAGTCACGGAAAATATCAAGCCACAAGCTCCGGCGATTAACCTGATACAAAACGTAAGTGGCACCTCACGTATTGATACTGATATCGATATAGATCCAAATCTACCAGAGGATGATTATCATCACCAAGTAGATGTTGTACGATCCCCAGCTGACAGAATATAGATCACCTCCCCGCCAATATGAAGTTCGCATCAATCGTCACCGTTCTATCTATCTCTTCAATGGTAGCAGCAGCCCCCATCATCGAGCCACGTAACCTCATCCCGGGACTCCCAAGACCAATGGAAGCCGTCGAAGCTCTATACCCTGGCTCTGGTGTCCCGAAGCTCGCGAGCAAGCTGGAGAAGACTCTCAACCTCTGTATGTACATCTGACCGGATTATCATGAAGTTTGGAGCGCGTTTCTAACGAGATCTTGTAGAACTGGGTACGAAAGAGTTGTATTCTTTTCATTCTCTCTGGCGGGGAGAACTTACGCAGCGAGACTGCGAGTTTCGAGTTTAATCAAGTTTCCACAAGATACCAATCATAATTCAATCAAAGAAGTTGCCACAAAAAGATACTCCGTTTGCGAAACTGATGACATGCAAAATATAAAAGCTAAGAAAAGGACCAAAGCAAGCGTCCACAAACCAAACCCACAAGAATCCCCAATCCATCCCAAAACAAGACCATAGAAAGAATAACGACTGAAATCGAAACTAAAACATGCCCTCCATATCCAAATCCAAAAACTCAGGATTCCCAACAGCCATATCAGCAGCATTAAGCACATCATCAATAGCATCCAGTCCAGCACCACCAGCATCAAGCTCCATATCCTGCGCAACACCAATACCCCCATCCATGCCAGCCGCAGCAGCAGCTGCCGCCGCCTTATCGAGCATCTGATTAATGTTATCAGGGTCATCTTCACCAACCGCATTCCCGGTAACATCCGCAGCAGACGGCTCCAGATCCATGCGATCATGTCCCTCAACACCAAGATGCATATTCTGAATTATATTGCTAACATCAATATTCGAAACCTGCGACGGAGGTGCCATCAGCATGTTGACCCGGCGCCAGAGGCGCACGACGACTTCCGCGCGGAGCGGGTCTTTCTCGGAGAGTTTGGGAACGTTTTCGTGGGCGAGGGTTAGGGCGTCGCGGAGGGTAAGGATCGGGCAGCGGGGCGGTGATTCCTTCATGGGATCGATGGGGTGGTAATTGTTCTGGTCGACGGCGAAGGATTCGGTCATTGGTGCGCAGATGATCGTCGTTGCGATATCCAGCGCGACGTGTCCACTGCCTGTTGTTTCTGATTGGTGTTTTACTTCGTCGATTATGGAGGCCAGCACGCGTGTTGCGCCTAGGATGCGGATTCCGGCTAGGATCTGGCGGTGCGTGTAGGCGTGTGGTGCTGCGCTTATTTCTGGGTTAGAGCTCCAGAGGATTAGGGCTTGCAGGGTGCTGCGGATGCTGCCTACTAGGCCGCCGGCTGTGTGTGAGGTCCAGGTGTCGAGTTCGGTGCGGTGGCTGCTGCCGACGCGGCGGAAGGAGAGGTAGGGTTCTAGGGCGTCCAGGATTGGTTTTATATCTGTGCGTGATTGGTTGCGGGTGCGCACGTTTTTAAGTTGTTCTTCGAGGGAGCGGGCGGTTATGTTTAGGACTGTTTGATGGATTGCTTGGGCTTCGCCGGAGATTGAGTTTGGTTTCACTAGGGAGTGGAGGGTTTTCAGAGGGATTGTTGGGTCGGTTTCTGATTCCCAGATGTGGTTGCCCAGCCATGTCAAGGCGACTACCAGGGATGGGAGGAGGAAGGGTTCGAGGAGATCTATGTTGTTGTTAGTTGGATGTGTGCGACCGGTGAGAAATTCTTACATTCGAATCCGCCTTTCAAGGTATCGAAGTCCAGCTTTCCAGACTCGCATGCCCCGAGACTTTGATCGAAGAGTGTCGTGACAAGCATGTAGAATTCATGGGGACTGCAAGTAGACATGGTCTCTTCACTGATGCCTTCGGCGATGAACAGAGCTCCGATCCATGCGCCGAGGTCTTTGTTCTGTTTCTCGCTCAGCTCGCTCAGCTTCTGGGTACATGCGCCCCGGTCCATAAGCTTCAACAAGAAAGAGTCATTGCTGGAGATTCCCATATCGGATGGGCTCAAGTCATAGCGGTACTTGAAGGCTAGAACTAGCAGCAAGATACTACCAAATTCGTCATACACAGGCTGATTTTCGCCTTGGTCTTCGTCCCATTTCCAAGAATCAAGGATAGAACAGAGAGGTTGCAAGACCTGCTTTGTGGTTCGGAAAAGCAAGATGGCGTCCAAGGTCTGTGGGCGACGCGAGAGCGAGTTGCAGATGTTTTTTAGAGTCATTGTCTCTTTCTGATGGCATAAACTATGCATGACCTTGGGAGTATCAACATGGAGGATCCTAATTTAATATGTGGGACGACATACCTCGACCACTGCACCAACAATAGCACCCGCATTACCCTCCATCGACTCAATTTCGCCAATAAGCTGCTCGGCACGTTCATGATTGCTGCTGATCTGCGAAATGAGGTCATCCTTCACATAAGGACCACCACCAGGTAAAGTCTGCATGGGATTCTCTCCGAGAAGCTGCTCAATGCTCGATTCTTGGATGAGCTTGTGCGATGCACAGGCAAAGAGGAACTCCTGGCGGGCATCTGATAGAACACTGCTACCTTGCATGGAGAACATTTGGGAGAAAGAAGGGAAAGCGTTGGGGTTGAGGCGGCTCAGGGCTTGACTGATGCACATTTCCATGGAGATTGGAACCATTGACGCTGCTGAAATGGCTGCGAAGAACACTGGTAGCTTGTTCACCAGGAAAGATCGGAAGAGGAACATTGTTCGGCTGGATTCATTTCGGTATACGCCATTGGATAGGACGTCGAAGGCAGCCGTGATGATCTCCTCGATGAGGACTTCATTGTGGCCCTGTAAGTAGTTAGTCAATGTTCAATGTGTACTCCAATATCTCCCAAACTCACCTGATATCTGTTGGTAAGGTAATTGATCAAGATAGTATCATCCACCAAAGGACGCCCAACAACCTGCAACCAGTCAGTTAGCCACAACCCCAAATCCAAAAGCAAAACACAGAAGCGCCTACCATAGAGTTAATATAAACATAGAGACCAGCTCTAGTATTAACAACTGGCCCATCCATAACCCCAGCCTCAAACTGAAGCGCCCGAACATTCATCCCATCAATACCAGAATGATCCAAAGCCTTAGAATTGGCATTGGCATTATTACTAGGCTGATCAGGAAACAGCCCAAACCCCTTCTGCAACTCCTCAAGCCGATGCCTCAGCGGCAAAGAAACATCAACACAAAGCGGCAAATAAGCCGCAAGCGCCTGGCCCAGCTTATTCTTCAACCGGCGATCGAAATCACTAGAAAGAACCTCAAGACCCTTCCCGGTCCCCGAAAGCGCAGCTAGCAAAATTCCCAGCGATTCGAACAATGAAACAGCATCGGGTTCACCCATCAGTCCCCCGCTCTGCGTTGACACATCGAGGCTGCGCTGGTGCCATGCGACTAAGGCGATGATCCACTCAATTGTCGCATTGTAAATATCCGCTGCTTCGGAACTAGTCTTCGGGATTGAAGCCGTCGATATGAACATCATGATATCCTGCACGACTTTGATATCGGTCATAAGAGTCGATCGATCACCACCAACACGCTTAGCCGACACATCCCTTTCCCCTTCCTTCTGGTTGGAGTTGGAGTTGGAAATACCATTCAAAATAGAAGAATGCCTCAACAACCCCCTCAACGCAGAGGAAACCTTCACCAGCCCAACCCTGCACAATCCATCGACATACAACGGCAGAAGGGGGTCCCAGGCGATGCGCGCATCAGCGCGAGACTGGAGCAAAAGATCGAGGAGGGTATTTTCTTTCACGGGGATGCGCGCTAGCATCAGCTTGGAGAGGGTTGTGAACTCGTCTATATCTATTCGGGTTGATAGACATTGGTGTAGGAATGTTTGCCATTGTTCGGGCGGGGTCTGCGCCTTTTCTTGTAGCATTGTTGTCTCCTGGACATGCGATTTCCCTCCAATTTAGTACAGTGTAGGTGGAGATGGGTGTTATTTTGGGGGCATTTTTATAAAAAATGTGGTTTGGTTTGGTATTTGGTTTGGTCTGGGGATAGCTTGGGGAGCTAAAGTGATGATTGTTAAAGGTCACGTGGAGATAGTTACTAATATACCACACGTGATCGGTGGTTTTGGTTGGTGGTTTGGTGGCCTGAGGCGGTAAAGTTGGAGGAATTCCGCTGTTGCGTTTCATAGGTGCATGGAAATAATTGTGAGTACGACTTGTCAGGCCTAAATGTCAGGTTTTTAAGGCGTTCCACTAATGATGGAGTGATGAGTGATTGCTTAATAGACGTTCAGATTCAATCTCAAAATGCAAGGCTTTACTGCTGTCTACGATTTACTATGCAAAATATTTTGAAATGATCATTCAATTTCATTATTGTCATGCCGATCCCAACTGCAGACCCAAAAAAACGGCGATGCTCAAGTGGGGATATCAATCAAATGCAGCAGAAGGGGAAAAACCAGCGCCTCTATCCGTAACCCGCTCGAAAGGTAAAGAAAAGCTATAAACAAAGAAAATGCATCAAAGCCGCCTCTCATCAAGAGAAGACAGAAATCATCACAACGGGGGGTGAACTGATCTACCACCAGTCACCGTGGTCCTTCATGGCCTCAGCGACCTTGGTGAAGCCAGCAATGTTGGAGCCAGCAACCAGGGAAGGAAGAACACCCTCGGCGGGGGTGACGTACTCCTTGGCGGTAGCGAGACCGTTGTTGAAGCAGTCCTCCATGATGTTCTTGAGACGGGAGTCGACCTCCTCGCGGGTCCAGTTGACACGGGCGGAGTTCTGGGCCATCTCGAGTCCGGAGACGGCGACACCACCGGCGTTGGCGGCCTTACCGGGGGCGTACCAGATGGCAGCGGCGCCGGGGTTGGCGTCACGGTGAGCCTCGAAGATGTCGATGGCCTCCTGGGTGGAACCCATGTTGGAGCCCTCGGCGATGAACTTGCAGCCGGCGGCGATCAGGGCCTTGGCCTCGTCGCCGGAGACCTCGTTCTGGGTGGCGGAGGGGAGGGCGACATCGATGCGTCCGGCGATGTTGGTCCAGGGACGGGCACCAGGGATGTACTTGAACTTGGAGGCGAAGGCGGCCTGGGTGGCGAGCTCGGAGATCTGCTTGCGCTCGACCTTGATGGCGGCGATGGTGTTGATCTCCTCGGGGGTGAATGAACCCTCCTCACCCTTGAGGACGAGGGCACCCTGGGAATCGGAGAGGGAGACGACGGAACCGCCGAGCTCGATGACCTTCAGGGCGGCGTACTGGGCGACGTTACCGGATCCGGAGATGGCGACGCGCTTGCCGGCGAAGGACTCCTTGCCGCCGGTGGCGTGCTTGATCATGTGCTCGGTGTAGTAGACGACACCGTAACCGGTGGCCTCGGGACGGATGAGAGAACCACCCCAGCTGCCACCCTTGCCGGTGAGGACACCTTCCCACTGGTTGCGAATCTTCTTGTACTGGCCGAACATGAAGCCGACCTCGCGGCCGGTGACACCGATGTCACCGGCGGGGACGTCAGTGTCGGCGCCGATGTGCTTGCAGAGCTCGGACATGAAGGAGACACAGAAGCGGCGGATCTCGTTGTCGGACTTGCCCTTGGGGTCAAAGTCGGAACCACCCTTACCACCACCCATGTTGAGGCCGGTCAGGGCATTCTTGAAGATCTGCTCGAAGCCGAGGAACTTCAGGATGGACAGGTTCACCGAAGGGTGGAACCGGAGGCCACCCTTGTAGGGACCAAGGGCAGAGTTGAACTGGACACGGTAACCGCGGTTGATTTGGACCTGATGAGGTTAGAAGGGGTCAAAGGCAACTCAATGGATTTGGTCTTACCTGACCCTTGTCATCCTCCCAGACAACACGGAACTGGATGACACGCTCGGGGACGGAGACAACCTGGAGGGCCTTGCGGTACTCGGGCTTCTTCTGGAAGAGAGTGGAGTTCTCAAGAGTGGAGGCAAGCTCTGTCGGGATTGTCAGCTGAGTCACCCCGAAATATGGGACCACAACCCGAAATTGCCGATGCAAAAGCGATTAAAAGCCGATAGAGGGGCAGAGGGTAGAGGGGCATTGGGAGGGGAGACAAAATTGTGAAAGGCACATACCCTTGTAGGCCTGCTCGAATTCGGGCTCGAAGGGAAGGTTCGACATCATTGCGTTTGGAATAATAACTCTTTTTATAATTAAATATAGGAGGATGAGAGAGATGGCAAGGCTGAGTCCCAAAGCAGAGTGAGTGAAGAAACAAGAGAAGAGAAGGAGGAATCTACAATTATATACCGGAGCTGGAGGGTGGAGAAGGACTACCGGAGTCGGACGAGAGATTCCGGACACGGGGAAACAGGAACACTATGGACTGAGTGTATAGTAGACAGAGTACGGAGTAGAGTGGTACGGAAGAACAGTATAGAGAGTCCAATGATTTCCGTGGAAGAGATGGTCCGATGGTCGGGGGACAATTAGCTTATGGTTTAAGGTCACAGAATTGGGCTTATCTATGGGGCAAATCCACATCCCTGCCACTAATAAGTCAATTCTTATTACTCGACTGCCATTACTACTCTATTTTGCACGTCCAATCACAGTGATATCTGGCTTCCTATTTCTTCCTTACTGGATTTGCCTCTTCCGTGTTCACTTCGCACGGCATCGGTCGTCTCCGACATGGGCAAAACTTTCTACAGAGTAGACATTTTAGAGACCTATACCAATGACATATTCAAGCAGATCCTACATAATGAAGAAAAGAGTCGAATTGAAATGCATGATGCGTCGAGGACAGATCTCCCAATGTCCCAGTTACATCCCGCCACCAGCTGCCCACTTCGGCAGTGTAGCTCGGCAATGGTCACGTGCCTCATACTATACCGCAAACGGTCAAGTGGCCCACCGAACTTATCTGATCGACCTTTTTATGTGCAAACACATTTGACTCACACTTTAATAGATCTATATACCACTGGTCAATGCTTTATCTCTATAGATGACATACTCCAATCCCTTCCCCCATATGCTCACCCCACCGGAATAACGGAAACCAATTGAGGGGTAACTCAAATCTGATCTGTGCTCTCGTGCTACACTTCTATATCTGTCTACCGTTGGACAGCATACATGTATTAAAGAAAGTTCCAGTAACTGCCCGCCTAAAGGTCATCACCGTCCCTGAGCCCTGGGTCCCGACTCCAGGGTAAGCTCACAGCCGTGGGGGTGCTAGGGTCAGGCACACAAGGGCCCGAGGGCCCGCATTTGACTTTCAGAGGGGCCCCGATACTCGGCCGGAAGCAATCCATGTCAGATTTACTGTACAATAGTATCTACGTGGCGCCCTCATGATCCCTGTTCCTATGACTGGAAAATAAGCTAATCAGTAAGTTAATTGGCGGCTGCCGCGTCCAAACTATTCCTATACATGCTCCGTATATGGAGTGAGGATCATCCAACGCACTGCACATCCCCGTACCCAAGCGCAACTTCGCCACTGTGCATCCTGCCTGCATGCCTGTACTGCACATATGTAAAGTAATTGATCGCCCGGCTCCTGCAGCACACCAACCAATCCGGGGAATGCCCGCTCCATCACTCCTGCAAAAGGACCAAAAAAAGGGCGGGGATTTCCCCACCGCTAGTTTTTGAGAGTTTACCATGTGCCGTTGCGGGTGTGAGTTGCTCACCGGAAGGCCATATGGAGACGGGTGTTTTATCACACGGACCATCCTCCGTCTTACTCGTTTGGCCGGATGAAATTGGTCTTCGGTGTGCTTGTGCTTGCATATGGGATTTTGGGACACATGTGACACGTGGAACGGAGAGAGGATGGGGACCCTCTAGCACCGTAGCACAGGTGGGATTCCCTTTGCAGATCTGGAAGCTTATTTTGTTTCTAGGGCTTCTAGGTTCTGGTTTGAGTTAGTCCCGTCCCTGGTTGCCCCCCGCAAGGAACTGCATGTGCATTGGTCTTATCAATCTCGGGGATTTGCGGGGGCTTTTTTATTTGAATTTGCACTACCACGTAGTTGCAGCTGGGATTGTATATATGCAATGTTAAATAGACTTGGTCTTCCTGCTTGTGTTGGGGTTTTGTTCTTCGTGAACTAACTTTCCGATGCGCATCATAGGGCTGAGCCGGTTATGTATATGAGAATATGCTGATGTTGATGCTAGCCATGCTATGTAGTTCCTTTTGAATAAAGAATAAGCTTTCTCTAGCGCCATCGTCATTGCCTTTGGCTTTGATGCCATCAACGAAAGCCTATACTATATACCAAGACTCCAAACCCGTTCCAAAACTAAGCAATGTGAAAACTGTCCCTCACGTTGGATAGCTTGGTAAATCTGAATATACTTTCTAGAACTTATCTTCTTGTAAGGCGCACAAACAGTATTCCACCTTGAAGCACTAGAGAGACACCACCCAGTATCAGCTCACAAATAAGTCCATAGAAACAAATGTGAACAGAGATAAGTAACGACAAGTACACCTCACGTGTCTATTATCAGACCATACACTATTCCAGATAACTGTCCCTGCATAAAACAATCCCAGCAAATGCACCTGCGTCACATCATCACGTCACCAGATCTAAAATCACAACAGTCGTTATATCAGCCGCCTGGGCAGCCATGGGTCTGCCTTACCCACATAGATACTGCACCTGCTAGATCGCAAGCCAGACTCAATATCCATAGATCTAGATCCCATTCTTCACGATCCACATGGATCAAACCTACCATAGAGCCTCAGCCCCACACAGACACAGACCACCCAGCCAACCTTGGAACACCTCAAGCCACATCAAACCATAGCAACAATCAAACCCATTTATAATTACTAAATACGTTACTACTGTACATACACAGTAAAAGCCATAACCCCCTAAACGCCAAGCCGGGAAGCTAAAACGGGTGGATAGGCCAAACCCGATGGCATCGGCGGACTCCGCAACGGGCATTTCCCGCAACCAGGAATGATAATCGGATGGCTATTGTCGGTCCTTGTTTCCCTATCATTGATACCCCGCGTTTGGGTGTCATTGCCTTACTTGAGATCTACGTTTTATTTACTGTTTGAGGTGGGTTGGGATGGAGTGGTCGTGGTCTGATCGTTTTGCTTGCTCCGGTTTATTTGCGTTGTGGCGGGGATTTCGAATGTCTACAGGGGCGGTAGGAGGATATAGAATGGTTTGTATGTCATTTGGATTTCTCTTTCTGGGTTGTGTTCGTGATTGCCCGATGTGGTAGGTGGCTCGAGTTTGGTGTTTAGAGATGGTGATCGTTTGTGTTTTGAACCGATCGATTAACTCTCTCAAAGCGTAAAGTATCCGTGTATGGATATACTGGAGTTCGGCAGTCTGGGTTCTCTTCCCGTTTCGTCATCTTTGAACACATGTTTTTCACCACATTGTTAGTATTATTAGGTTAGTAAATTGCATCGACTGAGAGGTTCTGAAGTTCTCTATCAAGATTATTGACACTATGAGTTTCTGTGTTCCCATAACCCGATCAACAAGCATTGAACAAGGTCGACATGGCATTCTAGCGCCAGCGGGACACGACATATAGCGGTCAGAACGAACCCCATGCTTCCTGCATACTTTTCGTCTGTGGCTAATGCGTCGACCCTCAGAGCCAGAGGTGTACCTGCACGATTTTATCAGTATCCGATCGCGGGGTCTTCATCTCCCCAACCACCAAGTGCAGTGCCTCGCTTCTGATCAACCGACTATGCATACTGATTTGAAATACCATAATACCATGAGCGACCGATTGAATCATTTTGTTTCAGAGACTGGTGTGCGGTTATCCGACCGATAAAATCATTGGGCAGCAGCGCAGAGACTTGTCATGCGCGTTGTTCATCGTTCACCTCCTGTTAAAGTGGACCGAAGACATTGTCGCCAAGTGGATTGGAGGGTTGGGTTGTGGCTATGCTGTCTGCCAAGTATGGACGCGTCGTAGGTCGAACAGATTGCATTCTTGAACCGTGATCTCCCAAGAATCGAAACGAATATTTCAGCCATGGCGTCAGTTTCACTCTGACTTGGCGATGGGACCGGTTTTTGTGCGCGACTGCAAAAACGGGTTGGTGCGCTCGGCGTTAGCAGAACGAACCCTCTTCGCTGGTTCGTGTGGTGAACCCTGGACATTGAACCACCCCTAATTATGCATGCTGAATTCGAGTCGACGTCGCATCGCAATACCTCGGTATAGCATCCGTGGCCAAAACACATCACTAGCAGGGGCACCTTCGGTCCTTTAGACCACTTGGTCGATATGGCTGGCTGATTCGACTGGAGGTTCAATATGCACAGCAGCACAGGTCATATCTGGATAAAGCGCCGACATCTGTCATATTACAGGAGTGGATCTGGTGAACTCCATAGGTGGCGAACGGATATGGCGGAGAACAGAAAGCAGAGATAGGATCGGATGCCTCGGATTGAGCATTTAAATGGATCACGATGAATATGCACGCAACATGAAGAAAAACAAAGTACCAAATTGCCTCTCTAACCCCTGGCCCTAGCGTCACTATGGCATGCAGATGACCCAGAACCCCAGAAAAGGAGAGCCGAATGAAAGCAGGACATGTGCTGGAACTGGAGACCTCCCTAAAGATCAGCTCTGTCATTTCTGATCTGGGATCTGGCGCGATCGGAAGCTGGTCCCCGCTATAGGGGGCTCTAGCTGGTCCCTGCGTTGGGAGACTGGGATGGATTGGGATGGGAGGATGGGATTAGTGCTTTGTCTTATTGTCCGCCCCTGACAGAGCTGAAGACAAATCGGCTTACTGACAGCCGAAGTGGGTTCGGGGTTTCTCGGTCTCCTGCACGCGATATCCAAGACCCGTTTCTGTCGGAGTATACAGCTCACTTTTATCCATTCTGACACTAACTTGATACGCCACTCCGGAGATGATCTATTGTTAACTTGCGACTGGCCGGATTCAATGCAAACTGCACACTGCAGGACACATGGTAAGTATAATTGGCGACCATCGGACCAGTTATCCTCTCAGTTTGTGGTACAATGAAAGGATGGTGTCCTCGTGGGCTGCGATTCCAATCATGACTAGGCGCCTTGCAGCCAGTCCGGGTTAGATTGAATAACTCGGCGCCAGTTGAAGAACCCCTTTTCCTTAAGAGACACAGTAAAGTAAGTCTGGTCATATGTAAAGATGCCGGAAAGGAGAAAGGTAAGAAATTAGAATCGACGCCATCTCGATTGAGGTAGCCAATCAGAGACGGAAAGTGAGATCTGTATAAGAGTACCAGGGATGTAACAGCATATCACTCCCCAGTAGGAATAAATAATATTTAGCGGGCCTTTTGCCTAGATCGATCATGTCTCCACCATTGACCCGTGGACAAGCAGATCTCAGGATTGGCCTGACCGGATAGACCCGTCGTGATGGATCTGATTCAAAAAATACTCCGTTATACTGTATTCTCTCTTTCTCTCTTATTAGACCCCCATTTCTCTTCTATGAATGTTCCAGAATATTTCTTACTCTTCCCTCCCTTTGACTGATTTCTTTCCCTTCGCGGGATTCAAAATGTACGTCCTTTTAGTACTGCATTGAACATCCCTCCTCCCCCCATGGTCCCCTAATGTCCAACAAGCAACCTCGACGGGCCATCAGGGACCTGTTCCGTTCTACCCCTATCTCTTCTCGCCTCCTTCGTCGAGGTAGGGATTATTTTTCCAAGTAACCACTCCCCTTCTCCACTACCCCTCGTGTTCACAGACCTCATTGCAAGTGCAGCTCGGGGCACCGCAATCGACCCCACTGGATTCCCGGAACGAGGCGCAGTCCCGAACAGAGAGAGGAATTACCACAGCTAAGCAACTATCCAGACACGTAGATCCTCCATCCATGAACTCCCATCAATTCGACCCGGCCACCATGATCGGTCTGGCCGGAGCCTCCCCAAGAACGGACGACAACTTCGATATCTTCGAATGGTACCCCGGCTACCAGAGCTGCCAACGATACTTTCTAGACCACGCCCAACACAGCGTCCCTGTCCAGGCCCTCTCCGCATTCTTGAACATCCGACTCCCCTTCCAGCGCCAACCGAACCCCGTCTTTAACTCGACCTCGCCATCCTCGTCTTCCTCCGCCACCCACATCCCTCCAGCCGGCTCACAACCCCCCGGCCCGCCCTCGGTCTCTCTGATCCCCTACATCCGCCGCCTAGTCGCAACTGGAATGGACTTCCCAGGCGTGCTGCACGGCTTCTTCGGCGACGACTGGGGCAGCGGCGTGGGCCCATTGCACGAGCAGGAACGGCGCAATTATCTTTTCGCCGCGAAGAGCGGGGGTTGGGCTTCCGTCAAGAAAGACTACGATATCCCGCCTCTGGAGACCATTCCCTTTTTGCGCCCTTTACAGAGCCCCTCGGACGCAGAGATCGAAGCAGCTGAACGCTCTTGGAGTGAATGGCTCGCTATGGAGGACTGGATGGTTGGACCCCGGGCGCCTGATATTCTCCATGACTCGTCCTCGCAGAATTCACGGCCGCGCAGTGCACGCGGGTGATAGCTCCGCCTTGTTTCTTTTTTCTTTTCTCTTGTTGTCTCTCTTTCGAATCTGACTGTCTTCACATTGGGTCGGCGACTTGGCGTCCTCTGTGCCCCATTTGGTCTTCACATCTAGCGATTCTGTCTTTGTCCATTGTCCAGCGGCTTTATTCTTTCCAGCATTATACGGAGATCCTGGGATTGCCATTTGCCCTTTTTTTCTTTTTCTACTTGCAAGGGGTTTCCCGGAATATACTAGATCTGGATGTATGCTATGTACCTATACCTCTCTTCAAAATCGCATCCAAGCCATATCCTCAACGCGAGCCACAGCGGCATCTCGACCCGGTACTATCGGATCCGATATCCATTACGAACACGAGACCAGACCATTGATTGGTAACGAAGCCTCCACAGAGGGGAATTAAAAAAAAATATATTAAAAATATTAAAAAGATAAAAAAAAAAAAGGAAAATGAAAAAAAGAGCCATAAAATACTGTCGCCCGGAAATCCTCCTGGAAAATGTTTATAATTGAAATACGTGGGAATAGCGGCAACTCCAAGCGCACGTCATCCCGGCCGACTGAAGTAACGCCGGCCCTATGGGGAGAGAAAGAGAGCGAGAGGAAAAGGAGAAAAAGCCGACAAACCCCAACGTCCGTACCAATATCTGCTCCGTCCCGTTACTTGTCTTTCCACCATTTCCCCCACCGGTTTGCGCTATTCCGCTGTGGACACCCCAGATCCAATCCGATAATCACCCGTAGATGGCCATCCCTTGGACGTAGTGGATCGAGGCTTTTTGGTAGATTGTGACTTGGGGCCGTCTCTTTCCTTACCGTGGACTTGACGGGAAATCGAGATACGAGAGATATAGTTAGAAGGCCAGAGCGATGGATGTGGAGGGTCAGGCCAGGTACAATCGAGGGGATCGAGGTTTACACTGGGCGGGATGACCCATGTGAAATCATCTGACCTGAAGTTGGACGTCAAGGATAAATTGGGTAGGAACCTTAAGAGTGTCCACCCTGGGCTATTTTACACTTTTACTTTCCAATTAATTGCCTTTTTTATTTGATATATTTCCAATTATTTCCCCCCTTCGACTACTGTATATGGTTTCTCGGAGTATCACCGTAAGCAAGGAAAACCACACCCAGAAATGTAGGAGATAACTTACCAGGCTTGATCGCAAAGAATATTTTCCTCAAAATCTCCGTCGATCTAGATGGATCGCAAGTGTAACCAATAAGGTTATTCTGGCGGCTCGTACATGTAAGGTTTGCCTCAAAAGTCCGAAAACTGTAAATTCACCTGTCGGCAAATCGTGGCGTAGCTGAAAGCCAAAGTCTATTGGCCTCTTAGTTCCGCTAGTGTTAGGCTAAGGCTTGCTTTTGGGTCCCGCTAGTCCTGTCCCTGCGGAGTCCCCTGAATTCCGCGCCGCATGACTGGCGTATATCAGAAAATTCTCCGAGATCACCCTGTTTTTTTTTGGGCCACTTGCGCCCCTAGCGGGGGACTGATTTATTCTTCCGCGTGGCTTTTTTTTGCCCTTTTTACCTGTACGTGTACTAGTCTAGGGGGTTGATCATCATGCACATGCGACACCAGTAAGTCTCTGCTGAGATGATCCAAGTCCCTGAATCCCGTGCAGATCGCAGAACTGCCTGAAACGCCAATGAACCAAGTTTCGGCGGCATGTCAATGCCCGTGCGTGTAAATCAGTGGACTCCTTACTTTGGGGGCAAACATCTGTGCCTTTCTCTGTCCTATCAAGTCCACCAGAATTGATAATACGCCACTGATTAAGTTCCCGGAGGAAATACATGACTCATGTACCCATATGCAAGCCCTGCACCAATATTGAGATCCTGCAGAACGACCTAATCCAAATTGGGAAATAGTAACTTGTAGTTATCCAAGTCGCGGTTATAAAGCTTGGTGTAGAGACCATCGACTGACCGCTACACTTGTACAACAGACTTCTCAAACCCCGAACACCCCAACGCCAGAGCCAAGAAACGCCAACGCGTCATGGTAATCTCACAACCGATCCGTGGACCGCACCCCTAAGGTCCCAGTCGAAATCTTGGGTCGAGCTTCATCGGTTCCAAAACCCACACCTGTTGGTGATTCAGGGTACTGTAAGTTTGGTCCGGAGGAGGAAGCGCGGCCCTAAGCTGGGTAAAGTAATTTAGAGCGGGTTGCCTTGAAACCATGGGTTCAAGGTTCAACGGTCCGGATTGACGCGCTGGAGTTCTGGTTCGTGCGTTTGTGGGATATATGTGGGATATGTGAAACATCGATCGGATATTGGTTCCGCGCTTAAAAGGGTGAAGAATTGGATCTGAAACCGTCTAAAACTGAATCGGGAATAGACGGATGGTTTAATTGTGGCTTTTGTGGCTTTTATCTTGATGTTTGTCTGTTGATACTGTATATTACAAGTTAATTGCTGCTGATATGCATGTATATGTAGAGGCTCAGACAAGATCTGGTTTGCTACAAGGGGGTATTGACGCTTTGATAAATTAAATAGCCGAAAGGAACAGCCAGGAAGCAGATTCATGACTCGAAACTGGGAATGGAAAGTGGAATTCGGAATCGGCTTTCGGCTTAGGAGTCAGCGTTCGCAGCGAGCAGCCAATAGTACCTCTCCCGTCCAATCTTAAGATCCAGGAAGCAGACTCTGAAAGTAAAAAGCAACTGCCTGAACAGGCCTGATCCGAAGGGTCTCGTGTGTCCTTGGTCAAGAAACCAAGCTAGTCGTGCTCTGGATTGAAACCTTGCGAGTTTCGGCTGACTGGACAAGCGTGAGAAAAGTCTTCCTCTTAGACCGAGCCTGTGAGCCGAAAACCAAAGCTCCTTGGGCAAGGGAAGAGTAATTGCCATTTTGAACGGAACCATTTGCCGAGATATGTCGGCTTTTGATCTCTTGCAGCGTCTCTTCTAGGAAACCAGGTCGATCCCAGCAGGAATCTTTCTCTTCATGTTCGCAGACCTGGAAGGGTGTACCCGCAAGATACCAGGAGTGATCGTTCGATAATTGACATGAAGAACCATGAGCATTGCTTCCGTGCTTTTGAGCGAGGAGCTCCAAACTTTGCATAGATGCTGCCATTAAATCGCACCCTTCGAGTAAGCTGTTGCAGGGTGAGGATAACCAGGGTGAGCGCTTTCCGATGATTGCATCGCCCAGATCGGAGCAGAAGAGGCACTTAATATTATTGAGCAGGGATACCCAGGCCAGGCCCTCCTTTTCAAGTGAGCTTTTCTTTAGTTCACTGCTTGGCGAATCCATCACAATGTCTGCAAATTCGTATCCGAAAATTGTGGACACCGTGAGCGGATGCATGTTCGATGCCTTGGGAGATTGGAGGGTTGTCTTTGAGAGATTCACTGAAAATCCCATAATAAGATCGCGGACAGTTAATTCATTCACCTCTGATTCCTCATTCACCTTTGACCTCTCAATGACAAGTGCTCCATTATCACGTAAAACCTGCAACGAGGCAGAAGCAGTGCCAGATGTATCTGGTGCAGCGAAAGGCGGGAATTTATCACTGAATTCTTTGTTTATCGTTTTACAATACGCCAGCAACATGTGATGGAGCACAGAAATTAGTGAGACCAGCCAGGCTCTTTTGGACTTTACATCGTAAAGGACAATTGGCTGTTGAGAGCTACTCGACAGGCATTTGAGGTAGTTTCGAGAGGGGCTAAACCGGATGGTGTTGACTGATCGATCAAGTCTCAAGTTTACCTGAACTCCCAGATTCAATGGAGAAGCGGATTGTGCCAGGAGTTGGAGGTTTGCTCCATTCCAGTGCCAGGTAGTTAGTTTGACCTTTGCACCAGACCATGCCACATTTGGTTCTAGGCGATCGGTGCCTAAGAGGACTTCTGCTTCCGAACACCAGCCCAGTATTGCTGGCGCGGATAACAAATCTTCGAGTGTGGATACTCTTAGCCACTCCTTCTGTATTGCTTGGAGATTAGACACCTGAAGTTGGAAATCGTCCGTGGCGGTTTCCAAGTGCCACATAATCCTTCCATCGGTGTTCTGCTTGATAGGTACAAGTGCGGTCGAGTAGCCCATGAGAACGATGCCATCATTGACCATGATAGGATACTCGACAGCTGCAAGTTTAAGTAGCTGCTTGAAATCCAGCTCGAGCCCTTCACATGGTTGAAGTTGCGGCTCAACAGATGACTGTAATGCAATCACAGCTGAGTCAAAAAGAGGATACCAACATTCCGCAGATGAAGCGAACGATGTGAACGGGGCCAACTTGTTTAGTGATATGGGACGCCCGTCATTAGAGTCATCGCTGATGGTGGAAACGGAAATCTTATGTTGAGCTGCCTGCCGAAATGTGAGGCAAATCCATTCCAAGGCATCTCGTGCCTCGATGGTCTCTGTAGTAACCCACAAGCAGATCTTGGATTTATGGGTCTCAAGTTTGATAGTGCCATCAACTAAATTTATCGATTAGTATCAAGAGAAAGGGTAGTGGCCGTGTTACTCACAATAAAAACCGTCGAATGCTCGGAGGGCTCTCACGATTCCTTGCAGTATATTCGTTCCTATATCTCCAAAAGAGTTCTCGAGAAAGTCACGACAAGATGCCAGTCTGACGGTATTCTTATTTCTCGTCAGAGTCCCTTTATGTGATAGATATGATTCGATGTCACTTGAAGATTCCAAAGAAAGGGGAAGCTCCCAATCGAACTTGAATTCGTGAGCTTCGCCATACCCTGCTCGAACCCCTGGGTCCGGTATGCGGAGTAACTCGACGTAGAATTGATGCAGTGGTCCAACATCTGCCCCTGTGGCAAGCAGGGTCCGGACAGTCTTTTCTTCCTCTGTGTCCCATGTAGAACCTACAGGATGAGCATTGATCACTCTTTGCAGCGCTGCAGTAAGCGCGGTGCCAAAGCTTCCATGCGTAAGCTTCATATCAACATCTGCTCCTGCCCCAAGAAGGGCGTTCACAGCCTTTACTGAAGTAGCAGTAGCCAAAGCACTACCGTAGGATCCATGATGCAAGTTCATATTGACATTGGCGCCGGCTTTGATCAGGGTTTCGATGACTCGGTGGGACGGGTTTGACCGAGAAGCAGCAGCCGCAAGAGCGCTGCCGTGTGCGCCATCTTTAACTTGCATATTGATATTGGCGCCTGCTTTTAAAAGGGCATTGATATTCATGGCAGAGGTTAACTCATCAGGAGCAGCAGCGGCAGCAACAAGGGCACTGCCAAATTCGCCAAACGACAGTTGCATGTTAACATCCGCGCCAGCCTCCAGGATAGCATCGAGACTTTTAGGAAACTGTGATCCGGAAGCAGCAGCAAGGGCACTGCCGTATGTGCCTTGATACAGCTCCATGTTAACATCAGCACCGGCATCGAGAAGAGCTTGGATGTTATGAAGGGAAGGCACAGCAGCGCACAGAGGACTGCCATACGATCCAGTTTTCAATCGCATGTTCACGTCGGCGCCTGCTTGTATCAAGAGTCGAACATTTTTGTTTGAACCTTCTCTAGCGGCAGCAGCAAGGGGACTTCCATATTCGCCCTGCGCCAAGTACATGTTAACAGAAGCGCCAGCCCTAAGAAGCGATTTGACATTTTCAGGATGATGTGACGCTGCAGCTGCACACAGGGCACTACCGTAATTCCCGGTCATCAGTTGCATGTCCACATCTGCGCCTGCTCGTAACAAATGCCGAATGGTTTCGACTGAGCCTGCCCCGGCAGCCGCGGCGAGAACACTGCCATAGACTGGATGGGGTGGTGTAGCATTTGGGTTGCGCAATTCATCCAAAAGAGTACGTATTCGCGGTTTTCCTTTCCCTTCGACGATTGCAATTATGAGATCGTGACCAGGATCAAGTTCATTAGACCAAGTAGGCGGTTCCTGTGAGAATTGTTCCTGTAAAACCGCGTCTGTGGGAATGCCCTAGAATATGAGTCAACACAGTGCCCTATAACATCTCGCAACCCGTCCACAGGTATTGCATCTACCTCATCCTCCGGCATCAAGTTAGATCCAGGCTGTTCTTCCTTCTTGCCGAACGGCTTCCAACGTCGAAGAGCCCTGAAAAGCGAACCCGGTTTGTCATCCTGCAAGACATTTACCCTTGACTTGAAGAGTGGGTTGCGCTTTCGGAGTCTATTTCTGTCACCTTGGCGGGACGAAGATCCATCAATGTATTCAGATCCGTCAAAGTCCGCGTATTCGTCCTCCAGCAGATAGTTTCTTACCCGGCCCTCGAAGTTCGAGAATGGCGACTCCTCACTCCCAGCCATGGTGTATTGAAGGTGAGAATGCGCCTCTGGAGATAATGAACATGATGAAATGCGAGATCATCCGCCTGAGCCTCAGCCTCAGCCTCACTTCGGGCCAGCAGCCCAGTTAACTTCACAGATACGAGACCGTTGCGGAAGTGGAAAAAGATGGCTGGCTAAACTGCAGGTGTGATTGGTGATATCATGGTCTTGGCAAATTCGGGTAAATAGTACTTGTAAGATGGTCATGTTTAGCGATTTCACTTGAGACCTAGGAAGATACAGCCGACGGGGGGCGAGTTTAGGAAGTGGAAGTAGGAAGTGGAAAGAAGGTCAAGAATATGGATGTTTGATAGATGGCAATTACGCATCCATGTCTTGGAAAGAACCAACCAGCCCCCAACCGAGCTTAACAGACTGAGTAGGGACTTCTAGTTCGCAAGGGTCAGGGTTGTCTTCAAAGAAAATCTCAGATCTTATTAGGCAATAAAGACAAGAGTATAAACCCAAAAAATAGCCCGTAGGAAGTTTTGATCCCACAACACCATCGCTAAAAGTAATGCAAAAGGAGTGCGACACAGCCACCAAAATTAAGTACAGAGAATAATAAAAAACAAGGGGTTTGTTTCGGACCTAGAGAAAAGCAAGTGGAGGGGGTATCTCAGGGTAGATTATCGCGGGCTTTTAAAAGCGAAAAGACATTAAAAGCGTACAAGGAAGAAGGGAAGGCCAATGTTAGCGAAAGGCATTATCAGAGTTCATGAATCATTGCTTCGGGTCGAGAGTCTTTGATTGGTATCTGAGATCCTCGACGTCGAATTCGAACTCGAGTTGGATTTTGTGCCGTGCAGGTCGTTTGCGAGAGAGGTTCGGTGGATTTCCTCGGGGAGAGGGAGATCAGGTAGGTGATCGGGATCCGAGACCAGGCTGCGAGGACGGGAAAACACGCCACCTAGAGAAGGATTCTCTTTCTCACGGGGTATTGAGCGGGGATGGGCGCGTGATCGGCGACGATGGCGGCGGAGGTACTCGTTCGGGACGGGGTCGACTTGTTTCTTCACGGCAGGTACAAAGTTGAGGTAGATGGGGAAGATGGCACCGGCGGCGAAAAGTGCCACGAGGACACAGAAAGAATAGGCTTCGCCTTTGTTTAGATAGGCTGCGTAGTTTGCGAAGGGGAAGAAGGTTCCGCCGCTAATTGCCATGGATAACATCATAGCGGCTGTTTTTGTGTGCTGGCCCGTGCCGCGCAATGAAATGGCAAATATGATGCTGAATGTACCGCTTTCGAAGAGGTAGACTAGCATTGCCATGACAATTGCTGCTGAGCCGTTTAACTTCATGCAGAGGACGGCACAGACAATCATGCCGATATAGTTGACCATGAGAATCCAGCGTGGTTTAAGGAACCACTGCGCAAAGGCAGCGAGGAAGCGACCGACGGCAAAGACGCTGTGCCCGATTGTGAGGAAGTCGAAAGGAGTTAGAGAAGAATCTGGGTGTACTGCTTCGACGAAGCGTCCAAGTGTTGTTGAAAATACTTCTTGTCCAGCCACGTAGAAAAATTGGGACCAGATGCCCAGGCCCAGTGTTAGCCAAACGACTGGGATCCCGACTACCTTGGCCATGTTGTCTTCTCGGCGTCTGTTTGCCAATTCTTTCAGATCTTCATCCGAGGCTTCGGGGACCGGCAGATAGCAGAATGCCACTGCTAACAGCACATCGAATAGGGCGATGCCGAGATAAGCCCATTGTACATCGACTAAAGATGCAACATCTTGGACGTTTTTGAAGAGAACTCTTTTGGCCAAAAGGGGTGATAAGACACTTCCAATGGCTTGAACACCCTGTGAAATATTAAGTCGGATCTCTGAATTTTCAAGCGGTCCACAAAGTGCAATGAACGGATTCGCCGCTGTTTCCAAGACCGCCAGGCCAAACCCGACGATAAAATTCGACGTAATGAACGCAGGCGTCGATGTGAGAACAGCCGATGGCCAAAAAATTAGTGTTCCACAGGCATAGATGCACAGGCCGGTCATGAAAGTGGACTTGAATCCCCAGGTTCTCAATACAGGCCCACCAACCAAGAGAGGACCAAGTAAGTATCCACCAAAATAGGCACCGTGAAGTCCCAATGACGACCATGGTCCTAAGTGCACGATAGTCTGGAATTGAGTATTCAGGATATCAAGTAATCCATATGCGAAGCCCCAAAGGAAGAATAGGAGTGTAGTCAAGGCAATCGGAGCAATTGACTCTCGATTATTCAGCTTGAGCATACTTTCGGGATTCTTCATGTTGACAAAGTCAAAGAATGTGATATCAGGCGGGTACGATGTGCTAGTGTTGGTATTTGCTTCTGTGTCTAGCGTCGCTGCTGTTTCAGGATGACCCAAGAAGTCCAATATGTCCATTGGTTCATTGGAGCTGCGAGAGCTGTGCCGATGCGCAAAGACGCTACCGTTGCGAGTTGCTTTAGCTTCGCTCCCAGTTGGGGAAGGCGATGGCAGTCCTAGATCCCCTGGTGCTGCAGCAGGCGATGGCACTGCAATCGGTGTTTCTCCGTTTGCAAAGGGTCCATTTTGCGTGCCATTAGAGGTATCATTGGTGCCTTTGATCAACTTCGGCACAAGACGAGTCACAAGAGGCTTGAGGCTTGGGACGCAACCGCAAATTATCGAGACGTTGACTTCAACAACTGACCACATGAAAGAGAGTGACGCGTACCCTAAAGCCCGTTAGCTCAATCCGCATGTGTTAAATTGGGAGAAATTGGAGTCGTACAGCTGAAGTCCACCCCTCCATAATTCTGAATATGAATAGATTTGACTTCAAGCGAGCGAGAAATGGCAGCTCGTTGGAGAAAAGCAATTCGAATAACATCGACCACGGCCACGAAGAAGCCAAAGGAAAAAGTGATGACCAAAATGACTTTTTGTTTGAAGGGAAGGCGCATTTTCGTCAGGAGCGGCATCGGAAGGAAGAGAATGGCGAGATCGGTGATAATATTTACCGGGGAGGAAGAGAGGTACAAAGTGACAATGTCGGTGCAATGCGCGTTGGGCGGGACGTCGGAAAGAAACACGGCGTTGAGAGGAGTACATTGGAACACATTGATAAACGTCAATGCGAGGCCCGCAGCATTTACAACTCCCAGGGTGACAAAGTTCGCCCATCGAAAGACTTTCTGGTTTCGTGTCAAGGTCAGGTAGAAGACAAGGATCGAGGTTTTGACGGCCATTAAAGCCGGGTTCTGGGAAGTTGTTAGGGAGGCAGTGCAACAAGGGACCATTGGTACTCACGTAGAGAACGGTAAACGCATAGTTGGCCTTGTTAAAAGCGATTTCATCCTCCGGTCTGATCTGATTCGAATGGAGGCCGAGACCTTTCTGCACGGAGAAGAAGAGCGAAAACGAAAAGCCAAAATCGATAATCTGCAGGCGCATTAGCCTCTGAGCCAACCTTGCTGGTTCCCCTGTCCTCTTGTCCATTGTGACTCCATCCCCGGGATCATGCAGGAACTGGGCCGAAGAATCCCACATACCCATGCGACCAACATCAACCAGTCGTGTAACCCAATTTTCCTGACCACGAATATGCGCGAAATGAACCGGAGCGCGACGAAGATACTGGCGAGGATGAAGAAGGTGATTGAGACGCCCAGTGTCGCCGGGCGACGACCCTCCATGACTCCGGTGTGTCCGCGCGGACTAAGTAGCGAGCCCAGGCGGGCGTGCCCAGTTCTACTGTATGGTTTCAATCGCAGGAGGCGGATTAAAAGGAGTCGGCGGCTTCATATTCGCCAGCGACGAGTGGTGAGTGAGTCCGGGGGATATGGGAGGTGAAGAAGACTGAGTTCTGGAGAAGTGGAGAAGGCAAAATTTAGTTTGAGGATCCGGCCGTTTTACCCCGGCTTTGGCCTTTTTCGCGCCAATTGTCGTATCTCACTTGAATGTCATTGTACAGCTTGCTACTATCGTATTGCCAGTCCAACTGGAATTCAGATCTATCTATGTACTTCATTTCCTCTGCCACATCTTGGCGTTCCCTTTCCGTTTTAGTGCTTGCCTTGCCGCTTTTTGCTCACTGAGTAAATCTGAGCACGTCCCTGAGTACCTGGACATGATCACCGATCCTTACATAATCGAAATCGTTGATCATCACCTGAGCACACGATCCACTTACTAATCGCCATCTCAGTAAGTTAACGTAATTCACTACCGAGCGGCCACCACCACCGAGTGGCCACCTTCCCTCTATGTAAATAATTAAAATGCAATTATTTTAACCAAAACACCATTAAATTCAATAAACTAAACTCGAGATCTATTAGGACATGCTGTCAATTTATGACCCTTAACTCCACAAACACTACACGTCGGTAAGGCTCTCGTACGTGGCTGTAAAGGTGCCGGAGCCGATCCTGCCTCACGGGGTATTTGTGCTAAAACTGCTTGCTCCGGCTGTATTGCTAAGGTAGAGACCTCTAAAACTGAGAGGCCTTCTTCGGAAGCTATTTGCCTTCTAGACCGAGTCCTTTTTTGCTTCTTCGTCTCGTTTTTAGCGCGTAATTCGCTTACTTCTTTCTCGAGTAAAGCTGCCGATTGTATTGTGATTTGGCAGGCTTTTAAAACCTGATTTATCGCGGAATTAAGCGGGCTCGGTGGGCTTTTTAGGCGCTGTTTTAGCAAAGCTTTAATTGAGGAAGCTTGTTTTTGTAATTGGACGTAGTTCGACGGCGTCTTTGGCTCCCACTCGCTTCCCTAGCTCGAGGGGGTGTCGGGGTTCGAAGGCAAATATCGAGCTTCGAGATTACTCGATCGGGATTATAAGGCACTAAGCCGGCGGCGGCGAAGCTATTCTTAATATTCTCCGATTTAAATGCCTCGATTCGAGCGGACGGGTAGGCTTTAAGGAAGTCTAGCTTATCGATATAGTTAATTCGAAGACGTATTTTCGATTCGAGAAGCCGAGTATAAGCACGCTTTAATACCGTAAAATAGCTAATATCTAGAGGCTGTAAAAGGTGAGACGAATACGGAGGCATATAAATTACGATAATATTATTTTTTTCGCAAATTTCGTCGAATTTCGGGGTTAAATGACTTCCGTGGCCGTCGAGTTATCAAAAGTCTATACTTCCCTTTCGTACGCGAAGAAGTAGACGGAATAAAGAGCTTTTCGAGCTATCGAAGGCTAATTTCATCGGAAGTCTACCCTTTTCGACTAACCTCGAAGCGCTAATTGTTCGGAAGGCCGTCGAACTAAGACTCGACGAAGACTTTGCCTTTAAAGATCACGCACGGAGGAAGCGCCTACCCCGAGGAATTTATACACTTAATTACGGTAACCCACTCGCGATTTCCGGGTTGTAAAAGTGCTCGCCGACCGTAGTATTCCCTTCTCGTAATCACCTTTGCGGTCGCAATTAAGCCTATTGCGAAACCAGTCTCGTCGAAGTTATAGATATCGTCGGGGTCGATGCCGTTTTGAAGTATCGTTTTTTGGACAAGATTAAACCATTCGTAAATGATTTTTGGGTCTTCACATTTAGCGCGATGATAATCATATCGCCTCGAAAAGCGACTCGATAGCTCTAGATGCCTTTTCACGAACTTTGTAACCCAATTTTCGCCGACCGAAGTAACTAGGGTAGATCCACGCGCCGCGAGTAGTAAATTGGCCATTTCTCGTACTATCGTAGGCCCGGGGGCTGCTCCGCGTAAATCTATTGAGAAAATCCAATTTAGAAGTGAATTCTCTTCAATTTCGGTCAATTTATGGCTATTAGCGCGTGTTTTAGCGCGACTTATATAGCCAGCAAGGCGGCGGCGGAGAGTCGTACGGGGTACATTAAATCGGGTTGCTACCTCTTGAATTGAAGCAATTTCTTGGTTCTTAATAGCCTAAATAGCTAATAAGATCCTACCCTCTTGCTCTTCTCGTTTTTGAGAAGATTGAGTGCGAATTGGTGGCATGGTAGGTGGTTAAAGAAGGAAGGTCTAATTAATTGACGCGTTTTTGGGTGGGGTGGCCACTCGGTGGTGAATTACGTTAGTTACCCTGATTCGCTCACTAAGCATAACCTAAGCGTGGGCATAAGGGGCCTACGTAAGCTATATCATTAAAATGCAGCACACTAGTTCTTTCACGTGCAACCCTTTTTGAGATCGCCCCTATGTCCTATTAAAAAAAGGATAGGCTTCGTCAATACGACCGTTCATTCTAGACATATCGATCGGTCTCCTACTTCTATCTTTGCTCTCAGATATTTCGTTTATTAGCCTCGCGATGCCCTATTCGGGCTTTGAACCTCTACTAGGGTGATTAGTGGACGGAATTACTTAAAGATCTACAATCTTGCTATGTAACAATGCTAACTGTAGCAATGAATGTTTAGTAGGCGACGAAGAAAAATTAGTTCGTTAATTGTAACGGCGTTTCTAGGAAGCATGCACTGATCTCTCGCAACCACGGAGGATCGACAATGTATAGGTGTCGACGCGTTAGCGTTGACCCTCCATAACGCTGCCCTTCATGTTAAATAGCCTCTTCTGAGAACCCGAAGTTCTCTAAGAATCAGTCTCTATACTCCTGTAATATAATTGCTCTTTAGGCATCTTCACCTTATCTAGTTGTCGGGCTCTGACCTGCAAACAGTAGTACCCTTTTTACATATACGCAGCGGAAGTCTGTACATATATAAAAAATAGTATCTTATTTGGATAAAATAGCAGTGTTATAAACGCTAAGAGCCCTTTTTATATACGATTGGGTTTTCCTAGGGCCATAATAGGTACCTAGCATTAGGTCCTAGGTTGAGTTAGGTTTTAGGTCCAGACTTTGGACTCAAATTGTAGCGATGACAGGGTGGGAATAGTTTCAGCTACGGCCTAGGGAGCTCATACGGTATCGCCAGCGAGCATTCCTAGTCCGGTTGCCTTAGGAAGCGTCAGAGAGCTCTGTAAATCGCCGGTACAATACAAATTTTAAAGAATTCGACGTAAACTAGCCAGCTGGCGGTTACATAGGCCAATTCCTTCATTTCTGCGGTTTTCGAAATCAGCATCAGTTTCCTATTTGGGACTTGTCTCACGCTAAGCGGCATGGTCGGTGGTAGAGTACGAAAGTGACTTGATACTTTGTTAGGGGCTACATAGTAAATGGGAGTATCTCAAGTTTGCGCTGGAAGCATGGTCAGTGGACTTTAGAATTGGAGGTAAAATGGCGGGAAAAAGGGACGCCTGACAAATCAGGAAGGAAGTTGTGTTAGCATCCAAGGGGTTGTGTCGGTATGAATTCTTTATCTAAATTAAATACATTTAGGTATTGTGGTTCTAAATTGCAAGCGGCCACACTGATCTCTCCCCCACGTTAGCCCATTGAGACGTTGTGCATTAAGCCGCAAACCCTAGTTGATACCACACAGGCGTCTAACCCACCTCTTTTGTAGCAACTGGCGTTTATCGCTTTGAATTTACTACACCACTCGGGCATCATGCTTTACAGCGGTGGAACTTGGTGTAGGATAAACACTCTGATTTTCATTTTCATCTTAACCCGCCGCATTGAAAAGGGATTACATATAAAGATTTCAGTCTGCCGTCAAGTTTGGGATTATGGTTGATGGAGGCGGGGGAACGAACGCAATTTGATCCGAAAAGAATATATAAGAAGCAGTTCTGGCTATCAGAATGTCAACTTAGATAAGGCAAAATTGATCTGGAACCCCAATTTCGAGTGTCATTACAGTAAATCTTCGTTAAAGAAAGATGATGCTTATATCCTGATTCTTAGGCATAACTTTGGGGGGCGGATCAACGCCTTGCGTTTTCAGCCAGCAGTGGTTGTCCGCAAAATCAAGAGCATGACAATCAGTGTCTTGAACACAGCTGTCGAAGCATTCTTGATAAGAAGACACGGCAAACTCTCTCAGAGTGGGGGTAGCGACATCTAAAAAATAGTTAACATGAAGCCATGTCATTTATCTGGTAGGAATTTCGAGACTTACGAATGCCACAGAACTGCTTAAAAGCCCGGCCTTTGCATTGAAAGATCTTTGAATGGGCAGAGGGACCTAAGGAATACTATTAGCATCCCCCGACTTGTGGGATACGAGAACATATCTCAGCGCTGCCTTACACTGTGGATTGCACTCAACAGGAGTTTCAGGCTCTGGCTCTGGCTCTTCGCAACAGCAGCCACGACCGAGCCCGCCTCGAGAGCCTGAGCCTTGGCCAAAGCGAGCACCAGCAACCCCAGACCCCTGCCCTGTCAGTCCCTGAGCCTGTGTCGAGGGGAATTCGGCCAGGAACTGAGCACCGCACACAAGAAGTAGATTGAAAAGTCTCACCATTGGGAGTAAGAGAAAGGATACAGACAATGGAAGGGGGAACTTATTGTGATCTCGCACTCTTAAATAAAAGCCTAGCGGAGAAAATTGGAAGTATTACGGCTTAGATCAACTTCGAGGGGACAGCGTGTCTGTGAGCTAGCATAACTATTGATTTGATGCATATGCCGTCTGAGATTCCTGCAGCAGGACGCATATACGATACCCTTGTGAAAGTTTATCCCGGCGCCTAGGTAGTACACGTATCCCTGTTCTGCACAAGCCACCTCGTTAGACTGCAGGTCAATGTCACCAGGCAGTGACGAAGCGAGGCATTGTTAGCCGAGTAAGGATGGAATTTAAATCCGTTTGTAGTGGGTATTCAGAAGGGTCCGCTTTTTGTATTATCTTTCTAACTGTCAGTACGATATTCCCTCAAGTGAGCGATTATCTCATAATTTTAGTTGATGTGGAAATTTAGGCCTGATGTGGGAAAAGCTCATTTATAGTGGAGAAACCTGGGAAATTTTGAGAAGAGGTGTCCATTTCTGCTACATCTCAATTGACTAGGGTGCGAGGTGCAACATTGGCGAGCAAGTGCATTCTGTAAATAAAGATACTGGAATGACATGACAAATGAGATAACGACCAAAAAGATGACATTGCACGCTCGGCAGATCTTGTCGCAAAGACAAATAGTAAGAGTTAATTGGGGCAAGACAACAATTGCTGATGGGAAAACTGTATGGGGACCTTGACCAAAAATCACTTCCAGAGTGGCACGAAGGCTGCAGTACAGTAAGTGTTGTCCGTGATTGTAGACCCAACAGGCTTCAAAACACATCCGCCGTTCTTCTCCCAATTCGCTCCAACATAATTATTAGCCTCCAACACGTAAAGCTGCATACATTCCTCGTGGGTCTTGGCCTCGGGTTTGGATACTGTTGGTGCTGTTGTACTCGTGTAACATCGGTTGCATTTTACCCGGAACGGGTGGTTGGCAACATAAACAAGCTGATTATCAACGCACTGATTCGTGTTGGGCTTTGGCTGCTGCTGTGTGCCACACTTTTGCTTGCCGCAGCCCTCGCACGCCCCAGAACAGCCGACGGAGTGGGCACTAGCAAATCGACTAGCTTCGAGAGTTGGAGGGCTGTCATTGTTGCTCAAATAGCACACTTGTTTGCTTTGGTCAAAGTCAACACTGCTGCAAGAAGGAGAAGCTGCGCAGTGGTCCATGCAATCCTCCAGGGTTGAGACTTTTTCGACGTTGAGGTACGGGGTGCCGTGACGCATTCCACAGCTCATGTAGAAGGTCTAAATTCATTGTCAGGTAGGAACATGGAACATCACCTAAGGGCTTCAGGAGTATCATCTTACCTCGCCATATGGGCTCACATAGATCTGGCCATTAGCATCTGGACAGGTGGTAGCGCACCGGCGAGTTGTCATACTGGGCTGCTTGGTGACCGGGGGGAAGTCGGGAAGGCATAGAGCTGGCTTCCATGAGAGGTTTGAGAGAAAGAACCAAAGTCAAGGAGGTTGCAATAAAGGGTGGAAGGCTCGAATGAGACACTGGGAAATGTTAGGAAAACAGTGCACCTAACAGGTGTGTCATGGGCCAACTCACGTTTCGCAGTTCGCGATCTCAGAGCACTTGTTGAGACATTCCTTCATGCTAGAAACTTGCGGTGTACCGACGGACAACGCATTGGAAGAGCTTTGGGTGCAGCACTGTAGGTAATACCAGCTGCCATCAAGTGCCTCGTAGATACTTCCATCACCTGTATTGTATTAGAAACCAAGAGGTATTCGATGATGGCAAAGAGTCACTTACTCGCAGGACAGGAGATACTAGTGGTGATTGGTGGCGATTGGTTGTATGCCTTGGGTGGGTTAGGACAGGTCCAGGACCCAGGGCTAGTACCACCGGCAGGGCCAGGATGGATGCCACCACCACCGGCAGCAGGGCCAGGTTGGATGCCACCACCACCAGCGGCAGGGCCAGGTTGGATGCTCCCACCACCGGCAGCAGGGCCAGGTTGGATGCCACCGCCACCAGCGGCAGGGCCAGGTTGGATGCTCCCACCACCGGCAGCAGGGCCAGGTTGGATGCCACCACCACCGGCGGCAGGGCCAGGTTGGATGCCACCGCCACCAGCGGCAGGGCCAGGTTGGATGCTCCCACCACCGGCAGCAGGGCCAGGTTGGATGCTCCCACCACCGGCAGCAGGGCCAGGTTGGATGCCACCACCACCGGCGGCAGGGCCAGGTTGGATGCTCCCGCCACCGGCAGCAGGGCCAGGTTGGATGCTCCCACCACCGCCAGGCTGGATGCCACTGCCGCTGCTAGGTCTAGGACCGGGCTTGATCTGAGCGTTTGTAAGCCCAAGGAGGGCCACCCCAATCAAATACAAAGTGTTGTCAGGCCTCATTGCTCGTAATTTAATAAAAACCGAGTAAACTCCAAAGAAGATGGAGATATAACTATGTGGGAGGCAGGAGGGGAATACTTATAGAATGGGCCGATTGTGGAAGGGAAAACAATCATATGCCGAGTCTCCGTGGCCCTCTTTAGTGAACAAATAATTTGCATTTCCGAGTACGACGAAACTAAACCATCAATTCAATAGTTTCTAGTGTTGAAGTAGCCTAGCCTCGCATTCATGCAAGATGGAATTGGGTTTCTTGTGAAACCTCGCAATAGGCCATGCACGATGAACTGTGGTTAGACCTCGCCTATTGCCTTTTTTGGGTACGCATGGGTTTATCCACAACCCCCCATGGACCCATGAGCCTGTATATTACAGACCTATCATCGCAATACAGCCCATACCACATAGAAAGTTGTGTAAGATCGCATATATTACTGTTTAATTTCCTTGGCGAATTTTAGGTTCGTGGGCGAAACCCGACGCGCGACTTTGGCGAGGTCTAACTGTGGTATCCTGTGTACGATCTAGCCCACTATTCAGCTAGCCCTCGTGCAAGATAATGCAGGAGCGGACAGATTGAGACAAAGAATGCGGGGATGAATGTACGTAATACGGGGTATCATATGCATGAGGCATATATTTTCTGTTCACGGCGTAACTAGTGAAAAATCTGCATGCAAGAGGGCACAGATTCACATGGTTTAGTAAAAAGCAATATTATTGAGCACATTGTATACTTGGGCTGGGAGATGAAAACATATAAGGGGGTAGAAGACTTGGATTATCGTATCCCAGTATCTAGTCCCAGATCTTGAAGTATAAAGAGACCATTTGCCTTCTCAATCCTCAATTACACCCACTACCCAATCAAGTCTCATCATCTATCTTCATTTGACGTGACTTCAAAGCATTGAAGGTATCCTCTTCTTCCATGGCGCCCACTTCAACTCCATATATTAATGAACCTAGTATTCCTAGTCTACCACGCCGACAAAATGCAAATCACCAATCTCAAATTGGTTCTCCTGGCTTCGCTCTTCGGGCAGTCAGACGCCTTATTTTTCAAGTGGACCAGAATTAACCCTACTCAATGCGCTATGTTGCCTTTTACCTTCGGATTCCCCGATCCCGGATGTCCTGGTGGTGCAGCCTTGCCGGCGCCCGCTCCGGCAGCACCAGATCCAAAGGTAGTCGCTCAGGCATACTGCACAGGCATTGCGAGTGGCGCCATTGCTTTGTTCCGAGCCGACGGCAGCCACTATGGTTGCTTCAATAACCCATGTCAAGAGACCTACCCTGGCAGCAACGAGATCAATGGCGTATGTAGATGATCTTCGACTGGAAGGCCACCCTCCAGGTCCCGAAAGTGTTATCAAGACAAGCGAGGGAGCGGAGAGCACCTGGAAGAAATACGCTAGCATATTCAGAGGGAAAGATCATTACGCAGGACCCTTGATTTTGCTGCAAACTTAACGTTGTGATTATTGAATTTTTGTTACCTATTTGCTTTTAGGTTGATTGGACATGACACTCTTTTCTATTTGTTAAATCAATATATCAGCTTTTCTTGTTTAAATCTGTTATTTTCAGCGTAAAAAATTAATTTCTAAACCTACAAAGAATTGTACCACGTTTCTGGCAGTCCACTCGTTAATATTTTCCCATGTAGTTGCGTACTACACGTGGTCTAAGGTCATGATAGGGTTTCCCGAGGATTTTCCTTAGGACATATCAATTTTTGAGGATGTGCCAGCAGGTGCATAACTAGTTCGACCCACTCAGATCTTACCTGCATATACCCGCATACAGTTTGCAGGAGGCAACTTCAGCTCGCCCCGACCCAGCCCCGTGGGGATTCTGTCGTTTGCGAACAGTGCTGCACGATGAATGTAACCTTGGGGAAGCTTTCCTTGCTTTTTTTTCATGCACGCCAACTAGATGGACCATATTGGGTGGAACTAATGCTCCAGCTGATACTAGTCTGCATACGACAAATAAACAGTACCGAAAAAATCATGATGAGCTTTGGGTCCTTCCCAGTACGCCCACTAAATTATTCCATCTTTTCTCAATACCAACTCAGGTGCAACCAATTCTTCGATCCCATATTCATTTTCTCACAACCATGGCCGTCAATGAAATCGAAAGATTCCATGTTACAATCCCACTATCGATACAGTTTGAGTCCAATTCACAGGGCGTCCATGTGGTCGGCGTGTCCATGCCAGATGAACGTGTGTCTGTCCTGGGTCTCGACGACGACCAGCCTTCAATCGCACAGACAAACTTCGAGCCCGACGATAAAGTGTGGCCGGACGGATTACAGGACTTAGGTCTCATCGCTGCGAACGAGTCACTCGCCTGTCCGGATTTCTCTCACATAGAGTACTTCACACTGCATGAAGATCCTCTTATCATCTATATCCCCAACTTTGTTTCTCCAGATGAGATCGTGCACTTGTTGGAGTCTACGTATGCTGCCCCTCCTCTCCGGAACTGGACTATTCAGGGTTCTAATGCTTGACTTACAGGAAAGAAAGCTTCTCTCCATCTGTGGTCTACCGACACGGAGTAAGTAGCAATGATGACAACTTCCGAAAATCAGAAAATGCATGGCCTCCACGGGACGAAATTTTGCAATGTATCGAACAGAGGGCAATCCGTTATCAAAACTTGGAGTCAAAGCTGCTCATGGAACCGTTATCTCTCCAACGTTACCATGAGAATGGCTTCTTCTCCTATCACCATGACCAGTTCGACTCGCCGCCCAATCGTCTCAATCGCTATTCGACCTACAATGTGTTTTTGCAAGGCAACTGTACCGGTGGTGGCACCCACTTCCCCTTGATTAGGCGACCAAAAGAAAGTGCCTGGTGTGACTACATCGACTGTACATCGACCGAGCCTGGGGTGATTTTCAAGCCAATTGCTGGTAGCGCCGTCTACTGGGTCAACATCCGAGAGGATGGACGCGGTTATCGGGAAACAATGCACGCAGGCATGCCGGTAAAATCAGGTACTAAGATTGGTATGAACATTTGGAGCTGGAAGGACACACGAGAGGGAGTTGTCCAAACGGAAACTTTGCATGTACAATAATTCAGAGCCGGCAAGCCCCACTAGGCGAAGTCATATCAAGAATTTTTATTTCGGGTATCAACGTCTAAGCCTTAACTTGGTGCTCCATTTCATCATACTTTGTACCTTCAATTGACTTCAGAAAGTTCAAATATTAGAGACACCTTGCTTTCTCATGTGCTAAAACTTTTATTTTGTGAAGTAGAGCTGTTCTCATTCCAAATTTCTTTTTCCTACCTGTACATAATTCTCATTCCCTGGAAGAAAACCAGCCTTGCCCAAGAAAAACTCCAGTCTTTCGTATGATCCTAACCTCCCGTAGCCATTATTTTTGCTTTATAGTGATTCTGCGGCGACAGGGAGTAGGCAGAGCAACATTTAGGACGGTTATATTATGTGGGATGTAGGGACATGATCAACATCGCCTTTAGTTCTGTTATAAACATCGCCCACTAGATATTAAGCACGAGTAGCAATGAAGACAATGTTGGGGGAAAGCCCATGGATAGTCTACTGTAGCCGTAGGTAGAATACGCCAAAGAATAGGGGATTGATAAACCTACCCCTCTTTGGTAATTGTAACGAGTTATTACATTGGCGCCTGGCCGCTATACCACTCCGCAGTGATCTTGGCATACATGCTTCCTGCTGCAGGAATTAGTTACATGGCGTATGCATCAACTCAGTAGTTATGCGGGCTCACAGAAGAGGCAATGTCAGTGCGAATTTGAAGCTGACATATACCGTATAGGCTTCTATTTAATAGTGTGGGATCAGAATAATTCCCGCTCTTCCATTGTGTCTATAATTCCCCTTACCACTATGGTCAAGATTTTCAATCTACTTTTTCTGTGTGGTGCTCTGCTCGTTGTCAAAATCACCCCTTCGTATGCTCAGGGTTTGATAGTTCAGAGGTCTGGGGTCGCTGGTGCTCGCTTTGGCCAAGGCTCAGGCTCTCGAAGCGGGCTCGGTCGTGGCTGCTGTTGCTACGAAGAGCCAGAGCCCCCTACTGTTCCAGAGCGCAAAATCTGTAAGTGTTGGCTATTCTAAAAGAAGTGAATTCACATCTGATTAATCCTGTTTTTGATAGGTGAAAACGACACGCAACTGGATGAGCAGCAGACCATTACTTCTGGCGGCAGAACCTACAGGATTTGGTGCAACGCGAGTAAGTATTGCTCCAAAACATTGCAATATTCCCCTAACATAACATAGTCAAGCACGGCGAGAACGACTTGGGATATGACATCGCCGTCAAGAGCATTGATGAGTGTATCGAACTGTGTAACAAGAAGGCGACGTGTGTTCGTGCCATAACGACCAAAGATGAAACTATATGCTACCTCCGCTCCCATGGCAACAACCTGATTCCTGATTCATCGGGATATATTAGCGCCCATTTGGAGTAGTCATTCAATGGCTGCTTTGAGTTGAAACAACACCTCTTTACTACACCATGTCTGCACCAGGGCTGTAGTGAAAGGGAGTTTGTGTGTTTTACTTTACCATTAGTCGAGAGCCCACATTCAATCATTGGACCATGCGTACGGCAACGGTCACTTCCGGAGTTTAAGCCGTGAGACCTGCGATCATGTATGGATAGCTCGTCTCCACGCTCAACACAATAATTCAAACGGGTGATTTGTCTTCACATAAACCCGAGGTGATGTTACGTATGTGATAAATTAGTTTCATCCGTTTGGGATCAGACAAGTTTAGCTAGGAACGAAATGGAGACCAAATGCGTAGAGCTCTATGTCGCGGCGAGCGCACCCGCCCACACTGAAGTTCGAAAGTTAGGTTCAATAATTATGCACTCCAGATGCTCAAGTTTTCCGAACATGTATTTCAAGTGTGGCGATGGTGGTGATGCTTGAGTATGTTGATGCCCGACTGGTTAATTCAGTCGGTAGGAAACCTTCCGGTCGCTACAGTAGCCTGAAGCACGGGTCATAAATATGCGTTGAGGCATCGTTTTGCCGCGATTCGAGCTCTGTTGTTGATGGTTCAATATGAGATCAAGATGTCATTCTTGAATATCCCATATATTTTGGAATAAACCTAGCATGTCTTTGCAAACCCATTAGCCAATGAGATAGGAAAAGTGTGCGGCACAGGACGAGACGAGATGAACCGTGTTTCCATAAACTGACAGGATGGGATGGTCATGGGAATCACTATGAAAACGCAAGTTCTGGACAGTAGTAAATCGTAACCTTGAAACGATTCGAAACTACATCTAGACTCGCGGGGTTTGCAGCATGTACCTTTGTCACAAAAGACGATCCTGGAGTTTGGGGGAGGGCGACGAATATATAAATTAGAGCAACCCTGTCTCATTCATGAAACCGGTGGTCTACACTCATATCAGAACTTTGCAAGTTCAACATTTAAAGCCATATCCAATCTTTCGTAACCGAATTTTTTCAAGCACGACTCGGCATTGAAGAAGCCTTCCTCTCCCTGCTATCATGGATTGACGCCACCTAATAGCCTCAGGGAGCTGGCTATACGTCAAACTACCGTGAGGGACCTGAAGCATCTCTCTGACGTACTTGGAAATGTGCTGTCTGACCTTAACAATCTAGTCCCTTCTAACATTCCCGTCTTCTAATATCAGTTTCAGCTAGTGACTGACATCGCTTAAATGAAGCAGTTGCTGGTGAAACCCACTCGCGATGAATCTACTTTACGTGAATTCTTTATGCTAACTACGCCCGCGAAGCTTTGTTCTGCAAGTAATGAACAGGAGGTGAACGTTCAGATAGTAGGTGGAATCTATCTTAATCATCCGGTCTGTACAACCAACATCAGGTAATTTCAAATGATTGAGAAGCAGGCATCGACACTCTAATTCAAAATAGTTGCGGAAATATATGAACTACCTATAAGACTATTTTCCCTTCTTTCTTCTTATTTTTTGGGGGATTTACTAACATGTACATAGTTATGACAAAGAAGTGTATAGATATAAGATATTCGAGCTAATAGAGACTAGTAGTGATCTAGATGATTATGCTGAATATTCGTTTGTTGTCCGTGAATGTGTTGGTACGTCATATATTTGTATAATGGACTGATGAAAAAACTAATAGCATGGCTACAGCGGAAATCCGAGAAGGCAACATAGTACATTGACGTCAAATCCGAAGGCCTGCGCGACAATTCTGCGCAAGGTGCTGCACTATATTAATGCCGTCCGCCTGGTGGAAGAAAAGCCATCGGTTATCGTAAAAGAATATTGCTAAAGAAAATGCTGACTTAAATTCATGTCGAGCAAAAGTGCTATTTTATTTCCTCCTAGAGCTCGAGAAATGTGCTGTGAGCATAAACGGCGCTTCTGACTATAAGCTCGTAGATGGTATCTCCGCTTACTTATTGACTACCTTAAGCACACGTATGCAACTACCTAACGTCTTGATTTAATGGTATAGCGCGGCTAAATTACTTATGACCTTCTCGGCACTTTAAGCCTAGTTCTTATATTAATACTACATGCTTTGACACAGGAGAGCCGCGACATGTCGTATTCCACGTAGGCGAAGAGACGACTCGGGACGACGTCACGTTTTTTAAGCTCGAATGTCTGTTCCTTAATTATGACGGAGCCAAATTCGGAGAAGCGGGCGTATTTTTACACATTGCAGAGTTCCGGGGTTTAAACCCCATCGTGGCCCTAAGCAAGTCCACTATCCGAGTCCGAACGACTTCGGAAAGAGCTTGTAGAGAGAGGTCAGATTTCGGGATTTGGCGGGTTCTTATGTTTAGCACTATAACGGTAGCGCGTTTTTTGTGAATAAGGGGAAGGCTTTAAGATGATAGTTAACAATGGTAGCGGACGCAGCCTTTTTATATTAAATGCAGGTACCCGCGGGTTACCCGCTAGGAACGTATGTACTTGATTTCCTTCTGCCACTTCTTGGCGTTCTCTTTCCGTATTAGTGCTTAGACCTTGCCGCTTTTTGCTCACTGAGTAGATCTGAGCACGCCCCAAGCGCTCTAACCTACTCACTAAGCATGTTCTGATCGTCACCTAAGCGCTCTGATCCGCTCACTAAGTCTAAGCTGAACTTAGGGTGAGCAGTGTTATGTGTTACGGACCTACCAGGCACCAATCGATTATGGGGCCGCAACCTACTGATGGGCCACCAAGAGCCAACCGATCCATCTGTCATCAGATCACGTGCAGTACCTTATACTCCAGACACCCTGAATATTCAAGGAAAAGAGAAACGTGATCATACTTAGTGAGCATAAGCATGATTTACCCTAAGCGGACCTACCCGGCAGACTTTATCCTATATATATATAGCTATACATAATAGACAGGGTCTGCGCGCCAATAGGCCACTTTCGGCCTTCCGTTCGCCGTCTTATTATATACCGCAATAACCGATAAGACCACCACCACGTGATTATGCAAGTAGTAGAACAGTCGACAGTCGATAAGTAGAACAGTTCTACTATTCTACTTTCTACTATTCTACTATAGAAGGACTTAGGATATATAAGGACACTTATTCATGTATCTAGTTTAGTTCTTAGTGTTCAATCATACTGTTAGGGCCCTGCGAGGTCCTAGGGTAGCAGTATGAGTTCGGGAAGTAGAGTCTATCGGCGAATATACGTGCAGGTGTATTAAGAGACTAATTGCTGGTCCTCCATGCGAGGACCAGCGAGCACAATAAATACATGGTGCGCTTAGCTAATGTATTTAGCGACATGCATGGCCATCCTGGCCCATGCATGCGATCAGCTACCTTCGCAATGCGAGGGCCAAAGCTCGCTATATGCCTTCAGGCATCCGTAAGGCACCTGGCAGGTCGGGGCCCTGACACATACATTGTTACTTATGTCTACTGTTCAGAACTTTTGGTGACTCGTATAACTTGATTATAACTTAACAACACTACGAATAGACCCGTACTTCGGTATAGGCTCGTTCGGCGCTCTATCTAGCATCGCTCCTCGATACCCTTAAAAGGACTTAGCCCGTATAAGGCCTGTTAGGCGACGGTACAGTTGAGAGACAGATCGTTGACGTTAGAAGCAGAGAAGCATTAGGCAAGTATAACCCAGGAATCTTCTAACATAGCGACGACCCGATAGTCGTGCGTAACATTACGGCCCCTGCAGCCACAACCTACAAATGGGCCATCGAGAGCCAACCAACAAATATGGCAGCAAGGTCACGAGCACACACCACGATTAACCATGACCATTCCATCGTAATCGAACGCTATGGTGTAACTGCGAGGACAGATAGAGGCGTAGTCGCACCTATATGCATTAGGAACTTCACCTATATAGGATAGTTCCTATTCTGAGAAAGACCACGGCTTAGTATGTACCTACACGGCGGGGCCGCCCTACGGACCGCGCCGTCCTAAGCTTACGGGTATCCTACGAAAAGCCACGACTCTGTCGATAATATCGGACGTATCATAGGATATTAGCAACCCTAGGAATAGTGTCATCTAGGGACATAACCTCACGTGACTAAAACGTATCCTATCGTAGGATATAATTATACCTAAGGATAGGATAACCTACGGATAACGTCTGTGGAGGTCTTTTTCCCCTTTCCCTACGGGTTTTGGGTCGTTTTCCCTCTGCACCATCAAGACCATATACCTAAAGAAGTGGCGTTGCACCTCTAGGGAACTGCAACACCGTAGGATCAGGGACCTGGGATCTACGACTTTATTAGTAAGAATTTCATTGTTGCAAAAAAAGCTAGGCCTGGTACTCTGCCTATAGGGACCCCGGTCAGGGCAGTACCCGATGCCCTTCTACTGTTTCAGCAGTTAGTGCTCAACTTTGTTACTTTAGGCATTTCGCTTAAGTAGCACGTCCAGTTTCCCTTCGGGAGGTGTGGGTCACGTGCCAGCGTGACTCGCTGAGCGACATTATATGGTAATCAAATCAAAATCAAAACAAACTATTGCTATGTGTCACAAATACCCCAACTCCCTCCCCCAACTCCTTCCGACATTTTATTATTCTACGACGCTCCGCTACAATAGTCCCGATTAGGAAAGAGATGCTAATCAATTTTTATTGCAGAACTATACAAATCACACTAGAACTGCATTACCTGGGTCATATCGCCTAGGATCCCTTCACATTGGCCATCAGCATGCTGCCCTTGCCCTCGCTGTTGACTTTGCTGTCGACTTTGTTGTTGAATTGATAACCTCCTTCGAGCATCAGGAAGGTGTTAAGCCTCCGCACCTGACCAGCTGAATATATCCTTTAGATTCGTCTATTCAACGTCCCCTCCTCAGCTATACGTTGAAGCACACCAACACGTCAGAGCCAAAGAAGGCCCGAATATCCTCATTTATCGGATATTTCTTCATGAATCGCGAAGTCCAAGGCCTTGCTGTTGCTACTTTCGGTATCGTATTCTGAAGTCTTGTTTATTTCTGTCACGGCACTGTCAGAGTTGGAGATGAGGCGACGCGAAAACCCAAGGAGAAGTCTCCCTCGTTTGTCGATAACGATACGGCGATTGTTGTCCCCTAGGTATAAAGCATCTATTTCTTCCAGACTCCGGCCGCTTGTTTCCGGGTAGAACAGCCAGACAATAATAGCGAAGGCGATGTTGAGGACAAAGAAGATTATGTAGGTCTTCCAGCGGATGTTCGAAATTGAGATAGGCGTGATTTGGACCACGAGGTAGTTGAAGATCCAGTCACTGGCAGCCGCAATTGCGGCTGAATGAGTACGATGGCGGAGAGGCATAATTTCAGGTGCATAGAGCCATGGAACAGGGAGCCATCCAATGGCAAATATAGCCTCGTATAAGAAGAAAAAAGCGAGAGATGCCTTTGCTTTGGTCGGAGTGATATCCTTCTGAAGTAGCCCAGCCTGGAGAAGGGAAACTCTTAGCGAAGAAAGGCCACCACGACTTCCAATAACTGGTACTTACGCAAAGGAAGCAAACTGCGCAGCCCAATGCACCCCAAATAAGAGGCGGTCGGCGACCAGTCTTATCAAGGCAGTATATGCCAATGAAGGAAAATACCCAATAAGTGACACCAAGGCCGGCTCCAACCTGTAGTGACGTATCATAGTCCATGCCAATGTCTGTAGTCAAGGTGTGAGGGGCGTAAAATACTAATACGTTAATGCCGCTGAGTTGCTGCATTGCTTGTGCACCTGAACGCTCTTGGTTAGTGAACAGCTAGTATGTCTGGGCTCTTGAGCGCACCAATTGCAAGCAAGAAACGATGACGTATCTTGAGCGGACCATCTCTGAAACACTCAGAGAGTCTCCATTCGCCGTCAGCTCGTTCTAGCGCTATGGCATCATCTATTTCCTTCTTTGTTGACACTACCACTGGGTCTGTGAGACGCAGGTTCTTGCCAGTGATTTGAGCCAGAACATGCGTCGCCTCGGAATGTCGAGAACCTAGGGGCAAAGTTTAGGTGGGAGAAATACGTCAAGCGTCGAGTCGAAAAAAAAAAAAACCTACAGGCACTCAACCACCTGGGAGACTCAGGGAGCATATACGTCCATAGTACCTGGAAGAAGATAATGATGATTTGGAAGGCAATCACAAACCGCCATCGCACAGGTCCACTGGTATAAGACATACCGATGTTTAAGTAGTAAGCGACCACGATGCCAAAAGCGATTAGATTCCCCTCGATGGCAACATGTCGTCCGCGTGATTTTGCCGGTACCAGTTCGGAGACCCATAGTGGAGTGGTTGCCGTATTAAATCCGTTCCCCCAGCCGCTGTGCGATTTGGTTAATTCAGTACATCTCATTTAGTATTCCGTGACGTACCATACTATGCGTCCAACAATCATTTGCGGTACGCCGAATGCTGCAGACTGTAGAATCGCACCGATTAACTGCAAAAATGCTCCGACATAGATACATTTCTTGCGTCCAAGGCGACTTCCCACGAAGAAAACGGTCATGGCGCCGCAGAAGCAACCGATTCTGACGGACATTAGCCGCCTACCAGCGTAAAAGATCAGTTCCAGTGACGTGCTTACTCGTAGATGGCAGTTATGGTGCCGAGAAGGCTGGACGATGGGTAGCTAAACTGCCGGAGAAAGTCCTCTTGGGCAATCAACCCCTGCGTTTTCAAGAATCTTAGATGGATGTTTCAGCACATATGAGGATCACTTAGTACAGACGCCGATGAAACCCTGATCGTAACCGAAAAGCAGGAAGCCAAACGCTCCTGCTAGCGAGATATTGCGCCTAAGCGCTTTCCCCTGGGTGCCAAACATGTACTTTGGATGCATTGCCGATGCAGAGTCGGCCTGGTTTTGATCCTGACCATCGGAAGCCATCTTGAGTTTGAAAAATCGGCGTACAAGGGCAAGAAAGTACCTTGTAACGAGTGAAAATAGTCTCATATACCGAGATGTCTCCTGGATGATCGGAGGACGTACTAGATCTTATATATTCCTACGCCACAACACATCCCGTTTCCAACGTCTGGAGAAGATATTATCCAACGATATCAATTCCCGAAATCAGGGGAGAGATTGCAATCTCTGGAGGACTCGGGACTTGTGGCATCAGTCCCGGCGAGTCTTTCGTTAGACGGAATGGGTAGAAGTTTCCGATAGCTGGTCTCTCTGATCGCCCTTTCATTCTTCTCTATTTTCTCACTAACTGCTAGGGCGAGGTAGCCTATGGTCGCAAAAGCTCAACCCCGCGATTTGAAATAAGGTTTGATTTACCCCATGGGAATGGCGTAACTTGGGGAACTTCGCCATCGTGCGCTTGCGGCCTTTTCCGCAGGGTCGAGCGCCCAGATAAAGCCAACCCTCGGTATCCGGACAATAGTGGAGGGGCTTGGTGGTCGGGCCCGAGTCTACAAAAAGGGTCGTCGTTCCCGCATCCCCATCTTTTCAAGAGCCTAACACCCACACCCACCTTCCACCAGATCCGCCGCCCTTTATTTCGAGAGCGTGACACCCGCGCTAGCTACCGAAGCAATGAAACCGTCCTGGTGACAGAAATGCCCGCTTCCCAACCGAAACCTGGCTAAACTAACCGCTCGCGTATAGCCTTCCGTGTAAAAGGAGACACGTAAAATGTTCGTATGGGTCGTTTGCACGCAGCCAGAGTGCAGTACTGAGAGTCAATAGGTGATCAGCGGCGCCCGATCTGCACGCGATGCGCAAAAGCCAAGACGAAAATCAAGTGCTCCTATCCTGTCAAGTTCCGCCAAAGCGGGCTCTCGATCGGTGACCCCAGTCACGGCCTTCTATTGCGGTTTGTGAACGAATCGCCAGGTCGAAACTCGGACACGCTGCCTGACCGGTCCCCATCAACCAACACTCCTCCCGGTCGTCATCTATCGCACCTCGATACCTCCGGCGAGAGGTCAATGTCCCCGAGTGATCCGCCTGCTCCTCCTGTTAACTCGCAGAATTCCCAGTCCGATTGTAACGTACCACCACCTGTCTCTGAAACTCTACTTCCTAGGCCCTTACAATGCCAGCCGCTCTCACCTTGCTCTCATGAAGAGTCACCAGCGGAGCCACAAAGGTCCGATATCTCTGCAGACAAGCAACCCTCAACACCCCTAGCTGCGCCGCTGTCAGCTGCTGCTAATTCTCAGCGAATCCGTATCACTTCAAGTGAACATGATCTTTTCCAATTCTACCTGGAGCATGCCGGCGTGTGGGTAAGGCTTTCCACGAAGACGAGAAAACGCAGATGTTTACATTCGAGCAGCTTGATATTGTCTCATCCGATCGGTCCTTTTCGCAGACAGTACCAAGTTTAGCACTGCACAAACCAGCTCTCTACTATGCGTGTCTAGCCTACGCGGCACACGTCTTATCACTGTGGGGATCCTGTGACCGAGCGAGAGCGGACTACTTGCACAACGAGGTTATAACTCGACTCATTCCCAAGTTGGATTTAAACTCTCAGTTGCTCCCCGAAGACGATCTATTGGCAACAATTGTTATTCTGCGTATGTCAGAACAATACTCCGAGCCCGAACAAGACACGCAATGCCACCTTAACGGCGCCTACTCGCTTTTGACAAGCACGAAATTCAAATGGTCTCCAGGCGACATCGACCTGAAGGGGACGGTATTTTGGACCTTCGTCCGACAGACATTGCGACTTTGCTTTCTCTCCGAGCAGGAATGTGGATTTGACTTGAGCATTGTGAACAGCAACAACATGACTTCTCCGGCTCCGGAGCAGGTGTGGACAAACCGGATGACTTATCTGTCGGCGCAGGTCTGCAACGCATGCTGGTGGTCTCCCTTACTTGACGATGCATCACGCGACTGTCTCTTAGATGCGGTAGAGAAGGGTGTTGACTCTTGGCGTGATTCCGTCCCAGAGACGTTCAAACCGTGGTACTACCATCAATCACTTTCTGATTCGTTTCCAACAATCCGCTACTTGAGTTCATGGCACGGCAAGTCGATATATCGCCCATATTTCAAATCTAACTCCCTGCTGACTGCCACAACTGCGCAGTGATCGCTTGGCAACAGTATTACACCGCAAGAACAATGCTTGCAGTTTATCACCGAAAACCCCAAGTCTCCGTCCCATGTCGTGATGTTAGCAAATATCTAAACGTAAATTCTGTGCCTCTGCAAACCTACATTGAAATAGCACTGACTTACGTGATCTGATAAACAGTCTAATATCCTTATTCCAGCCCGGCTTGCATGTGGTGTCGTGCTCTCTGAAACCAACGTTGGCTGCGGAATCAATGGCGCTCACTTAGCCTATTGGTGCGGCCAGTTTTTCACGGGGCGCGAGGAGCAAAGCAAGCTTCTCAGCTGGCTAGAAGGCTTCATGGAAACCACAGAATGGCCTAATCGGACATGTATTTCGCACCTCCAAAGATCGTGGGGCATAGTTCCAGCTACGTCAGAGGATCCGGGGTCGCCGCCCCTGGTGTAGAGCAACGAACCTGGTTTCTCGTGTCTTGCCCATTCCACAGCTCGACCTGTCAGGTAACGTACCGCATAAGTCGTCTAACTTGGTCTTATGCATGAGCAGGTAACTCTACCGAAAGACTCCTTTCTAAGAGTGCGAATGCAATATACTATTTATTTGCTGTGATGCGAGTGGCTAAGCGGTTGAACTTTGCTTAGTGTACATTAGACTCGTTATATATAAGGGGATGAAAATCTTGAGTGGTTCAAACTTCTCAATAGAGTGCTCATAGTGAAATTAGTGTGTAGACAGGAAGTATAATCTGGATGGCTTCAACTCTTATCCATCAAGTATATATTGGTTTTCGTTCAGAATAGTTCATCTTATTCGGGCTTTCACCATTAGGTCCCGCGGGTTCCAGTTAAATCTCTCCACTGTCTGATATTCCAAATCCGGTTTGGCAAGTTCCCATTCAAAATTGAGAACGAGGGCCGCGACCACAATAGCCACCTCCATGTAGGCCAGATTTCTACCAATGCAAGCGCGTGGCCCGATACTAAAAGGAATGCAGTATTGCTTGAGGTTTTGGGCTTCCGTCACATCTTCACCAAATGTTTCTTCTGGTAACCATCGTTCAGGGATAAACTCGAGAGGCTGGCGAAACAGACTCTCATCGCGATGCAAGGAGTATATAGAAGCTGAAACGGTGACTCCCGGCGGTACCGAGTACCCATAAATCACAGCACCTTCTCCTGTGGTGCGACGGGGAAGACCACGGGCAACAGGTGGACGACACCGCCAATTTTCTTCCAGGACAGCACGAAGATAAGGCACCTTCTGAAGGACAGAAGTCGGGACGACCTTAGTCGCGTTGTATTCGTAGGGCATAGCAGCTGCCAATGCATCGTATAATTTCTTCTGTTTCTCAGGACAGCGTGCGAGATGGTAAATGCAATTGGTCAAACTAGTCTGAGTGGTATCATTCCCAGCATCAAGCATCGTAGCACATTCGGCAACAGCTTCTTCCACTGTCATGGGTACACGTCGCTTCTCAGACGCTCTGATTGGGAAGCCGGAGAAGAGGTCGCGCTCTGCTGGTTCATTCCTTAGACGATAGTAGACTTGGGCGCGAGACATCCCTGCAAAGTCAGCACCCTCTTTGTTTCCTGGCGCAAAGAAGAGCAATCGACGGCCCAACTTGTACAATGGAAGCGGAAGTTGACCCAAAGTGGTGTTAAAACGGCTCGCTGAGTGGAAGCTATTCATGGCATGCACCATCTTCACGTTCCCGGCTTGATCAAGGGATTTGCAAAGGTCGTTGCCTTTACCAAGAAATCCAAAGACATTAGTGAAAAGCATACTCGAAACAGCGTCGTAGGCGAACATGTTCAGCCACGGCCGCACATCAAAAACACCGTTCGTCACTGGATATTTATCATCTTCGCCAAGAGACCCGCCCATTGACTTCACCTTCAACGCACAGCAGAGCGTCGTAACCAACTCCATCACACGAGGTTCCATGGCAGTGATTTCTTTGGCTGAGAACACATGAGCCAAGTTTCTCCTTTTAGCGCTATGAATGGCTTTGTCGGTGGCCTGTGACAATGATGGATTGCCGTCCGCGATGTGGGAATAGAAGTCATCCTTTATCACGGAGGCCCCATGACCATAAATATCCTGGTAGGCGGCCGGGTCGGTGAATGAGATATGGTTCGGTGCGATTCGCACCACTGGCCCGAGTTTTTGATGTGCTTCATGTACCGCCTGGTACTGTCGACCCTTCCAAGCGTGCCACATGTACCATATCGGACTGAGTCCTGCGATACCCGGCGACGGGAAGCGTCGAAGTTGCTTGGAATCTCCGAAATAGCGCCCAGCCGTGTAAAATGCCAAAGCTAGAATGGCTAAGGCGGGTAGAATCACTAGGAGGAATTTAAATCTGATCAGTTTTTCCTTTCATGTCCATATACGAAGCGCGACGCGGCACTCACCCAAATGTAGCATGGCTGATAAACGATGCAAGTGGCTTTGAAGAGAAGTATTGAGTTCTATGGAAAAGAAGAGGGTGCACACCCTAGAATTTATATCGGATTGGGGACACAGTTCCTTGTTTCCCATCTTGGCTTGTTAGCCCCAATAGCATTAGTTCTGCAGGCTTCCCATGCGTCGTCCTGGTCCAGCGGCAAGCCCGGGTCTACAACCACACCACCAAGAGCTAATAAATCAGGCGGATTTCTGAATTAAGCATTCGGCCCCGATAAAGCAAGGGCGGTAGTTCCTGAGATTCCGTGAGTCAAGACTTCCAGCTTTAGGCAATTCCAGCGGTCCATAGTGCGCTTTGTTTTGAAACTTGTGGAGTGACGGTATTTAGATGACTCAGGATCGGGACGACACGTTGCATTCATTTTTGACTTGACTTCATGAAATCCGCGCAAGCCTTTGTCTTTGGTCCAAAATATCTCGGGCTTTAGTTTACTACTTCGGCGAGGGAAGCCGAGCTTGACGACGTGCCTGCGGAATCCACAAGCGCACTCCACCTTTCGTGCAGATACGGTTCTGTTCCCCGATCTTGGTCGGCCAATTTTCCAATCTCGTAATTCAAATCCGAATTCGCGGACGCAACCTCCATGGCAAGAAACCGGAAGGCGGGCTGCTCCGAACGCAAATCGAGTATAGGCTTTCGTGTGAAGAGAGCGTCATGGCTTGCCTTAGGACTGATTAGTATAATTAGTATTGGCTCCCACGAAGGCGATATAGTTCCGTAGCTTATTCTTGCATCAGTCCTCGAAAACCACTAAGGAAACCCACACCTCATCCCATCTTCTAGCCAGTACCGGAAAACGATACATACGAAACGGATCACATATGGCTGCCAAACCGCTCGTACGGGTCGTCGGTTCCTTAAATATCGACATCGTCACAGTCACGCCGAGCATTCCCCACTCGGGCCAGACCTTGACGGCTATCTCTCGTTCTATCGGCGCTGGGGGCAAAGGCGCTAACCAGGCAGTGGCCTGTGGCCGAGCCGCCTTTATCAGCAAAACTGAACAGGATCTGGACGTTGAGATAATAGGCGCTGTTGGAGCCGATGATCCCCAGTTTCACTCTTTGCTGGAGCCAATGCTCCGCCAAAGTGGGGTTGGCACCTCTGGCGTAGCCAAGGTGCATGGTGCTCAAACTGGAACGTCGATTATCTTGGTTGATGAAAGCTCGAACTACAACAACAGCATCCTTTTCAACCCAGGGGCGAATTATGACGGCATGCGAGATCTAAACCAAATATTGTCGGTCGCTACGGCCACTGCGTGGGCAACGGCCTCAACAAGGCTTCCAGATGTAGTCGTGATGCAGGGCGAAATCCCGCTTGAAACGACCTTGGGCCTGCTTAAGCACTTCAACGAGGAGACGAACAAGACATGTGTCGTTCTAAATCCGGCGCCGATGTTCCCTCAAGGAATCGCTTCAGAAGCCTTAATGGGCTTAGCTGTCCTTATCGTAAATGAGTCGGAATGCATACAGCTAGCGCAATCGTTGGGCATTAATTTCTTGCGGTTCGAGTCGACAAACGATAAACTGGAAAGACCTCAACTGGATCATATAGCAAATCATCTCCAACAAGCCGCTGGCATCAAAAATGTCATTGTCACACTTGGGTCTGACGGAGCTTACTTCGCCGCTCAATCAGGCCTAAAGAATCGAGTCCTCTCCGCCAAAGTAGAAAAGGTCGTCGACACCACCGCTGCGGGTGATACTTTTGCGGGTTTCTTTGCCGCAGCTTTAGCTAGGCATATCGGTGCCGGAGGTGTCCTGCAAAACTTTGACCTCCCTTCGGCTGTCAACTTTGCAAATTTGGCAGCTGCAAAGAGTGTGCAGCATAGCGGGTCGATGAAAAGCATTCCTTTTGGCTATGACTTGGCATGATGTACATGGAGCGTACAAGAACGGACTTTCGCAGAATCATACTTAGATGCGCGGACGACGACGCCGAACCCCTTTCGCTTGGTTAGAAATTTGATGAAATATGCTGTGTATATATTTATATCTTGGTTAAATGTATGAGGTACTGGTATCCGCAGTTTTCAGATACCCGTTCAAGGAGCGACTTTGCTCCAAGATTGAAGTTGAAAAGTCACGTCTATAACCCAAACAAGATCAAAATTCGGATTTCTAAGGAATCTAACGTCTGTTCCCGGCCAGGACAATCTGGCCACTAGTCTGTCCTTTTGTTCTGCAAGAATGCGCTTGTGCAAGTACTGCGCGTTGAGATCAATGAAGCCACAAACTTGGCTATTCTAAGACCCATAGGGTGGGAATGCGGCGTGGATGCCCACAAGGACTTGTCTTCCTGTTCAGCGCATTAACGTTAATTCAAACAGGTGGAAATGAAGTCAGACGGAGAGTCCTGGCTAATAGTCACCCCCTTCGTCCCTGGGAGCACAGCCAGAAAATTAACCATGCGCATTGATAGTGCAAAGTCAGTTGGTTGAGGAGCCTAATTATTTGTAATGGTTCGGTGGTACAGAGCGAAACGGATACAGCTAATAGTGAATAATATTGTGACAGCAAGCTATTACAGTATGGCATTTGTACGTGAGACGGGGCTAATCTACCAAGGGGAACATATCTAAATATGAGTTGAACTAATTGAAGAAAAGATTATAGAGAGATATCTACCGTCGGCCGACCACAGGAGACCATATTGATCTCTGAAATCGCTAGGAGCCGAACAATAGGACTCGCGTGGATTCGCGTGGATTCTCTGTGGTCCATCAAACACAAGAAAAGGCCCATTGCCATTCGCCCATTCTTCCGGAGACAGACATATTCAGAGGTTGGCTTGTCATTGGCCAATGCTAGGTAGGAAGCAAGGGCAAGGCGCTGGACAACCTGAGCTAAAAATCCACTGATATACCTGATCATGTGCACGGCGGGATAAACGACTCGATTTGTGCGCTCGGGCCCGATGGCCAAGCTTGTGGAGAATTTTACTGAAACAGGGCAAATACCGAGCAATGGCGCGAATTCCCTACTTCGTTGCTGTTATCACTGAGGGATCTCCGCCTCGTTTCTCAGTGGCTCTTTGTATCCCTGGAACAACTCAATTTACGATCCACTTCGCTCCTTTCCCATGTTCGGCGAAGACCATGCGGCCCAAGCTGTTAGGTTACCTCAAGCACCAATGTGAACTGACAATCCGAGTTTCCGATGAGGCTGGGTGAGACTTCATTTTGGCAAAATGCTACGGCCGCGTCAGCAATGTTTTTCCCTAAGTATCTCGGATTGGAATTGATACGAAACGCCCTGATTTTGATGCACGATAATCTTTGCTAGAAGGGGAAAGGTCCAGACACTTCTTGTCACCTACAGCGACGGGATGTGAGATATGTTCTGCGGGATTCTCAGCCTGCTCAGAGTTAGCAGAAATACTCTTGCCTTGAACCACGGAGAACTTCCCTCGATGCTTCCTCTATGCCCGAAGGGCAATTCTAGGCGGTAGACTCTATCATGTTAGCCGCAAATGTCAAGCAGAGTTCCACGAGGGAGAGGCGGTATGTTCGCAAATCTTCATCACTCACCAGACAATCATGCATACATACGTGGTATTGGACTGGACCAAAAGACCTTTGCTGGACGAGAAAGCACCCACTTTACGACCGGTATATATAGACTTGGGACAAGATTATCTGACAAATTTCACGTGCAAGTTTGGCTGAAGTTACACAGGTGGATGCTTGCAGAAATTGGTAGCGGAAAATTTGAACGATACGACCTCAATTTTCCGAAAAACATGTCGGCCTCCATTTCATACGGACGTTGTTCGAAATCTGGCGATCAGGAGCCGATTATCGGTGATCATAGGTCGATGAGAGCAGGATGTTCCCCCCAAGTCGCTAACCTGTTGTACAGGCAGCGGCGACTGCAGCGCCGAGGCAGAATGTGTGATTGGAGCCCCGAAGGATGACCACGTCCACGATCGCAGTTGACATTCACTTCCGGTGATCTGCCAATCTGCCTCAAGATTGTGAGGGGCGACTCGCAGAAGACCGCCCGGCCCCGTTGGACTCACTCTGTGTGCTCAGGAGACTTGAGAGATCATCTCACCGTCCTCTACGTTTGGATCGCGCCGCGTGGTATCCAGGAACAGTGTCATACGGCATCTGGTGGAAACCCTTCCACTATACTTCTGGTGCGTTGACTGTTCACGGATCATTCAACGGGATCCAAGATGAAAATCGCACCAGAAACTGGTTGATGCAATCTACACTACAGCCAAGGGTCAAGCCTTTGTCTTCGTTCGGATGCAACTCCTAATCGGATTCGCCTGTTGCCACTGGACGACTGGGCATATTGAAGGGCCAAGTCAAACGAGAACGAGAATACAGCCTGGTTTGCATGTCAGTCGGCTCATTCTGTGAGTCATGAATAAGAAATGCGGTGGAGATTTCTCAACATCCTGACTATCCTGATATCCAGACGCTGCTTCCCGGAGCCGATGGCGCCCCGATGATTAAGATCGTGATCCGGTTGCAGGCAGGGACCGGGGCTATACAGTCCACTCCTAGAAGCTGTTGTTCCTCTGGAGGCTATGATCTTGACCCCTAGAACCGATTCAGACCGTGTCTGGGAACCATGGTATGGATCCTGGGGTCGAATTTAAACCCGGGAATGTTAGAGACTCACTCGCGAGGTTGAAAGCAGGATTTGAAACATGTCCTTAAGATTATGAATGTGAATTAAAACGCGCGCAGCAAGTGCGGGCAACAGAAAGAAGAAACGACTAACTGGGCGAAGTCATGGCGTAAGGACACCGCTGAAGAGAGAAAGGATGTCGGTAAAATGCGACGGTTATTTATAAATTGACGGAATATGCATATTCAACGATGTTTTCCACGATATCGGCAATAAACAAGAGTATAGTGGCAGAGACATAGAAAGGTGGAAGTTCAACGGACAAGCAAAGTTGTAGCCGCGGAGCGTCTGCGCCCCTCAGAAGCTCCCAAAACTACCCAAAAAATCGACGCTTCAAAAGCAACAGGCCAATGTCGTCGATTGTCCGTAGCTGATACTACACTAGACTGAGTGTTATCAGCGTTAGGTTAATCAGAACCCTGGCAGGCCCGGTTACCGACGTCATTGTGAGCAGTGAGGTTGCCTATGTTAGGTCCTAGTATAACTACGAAAAGATCACTAAACAGCTAAGTTTATTATGCACGAGTTGAATGAGGATACTCTTAATTCTCTGTGACATAGAAGCGTGACTATTAAGCGAACGCTACATATGTATAGAAACCTCTGTGTTGTGCGCAAATTTCGGAGCCCCCTTTGTGAATAAATTTCGACTGAATGATTCTCTTCCCCAGCAACAATATCTGATTAGGAGACAAGCGCAGAGTTAGCTATAGTGAACAAAAATTTGTGAGCAATTGTTGAAACTGACAAAGGGCAAAATTCAAATTCGGACAGGCAACTAGCACTAAAGCGCATCACTTTTAGATTAGAGGCAGACCATAGATCTATAGCAATCTCGAGGTGTTACGGAAGGGCTCTTGTCTGAGATTTGTTGGCTAAGGAACAGACAAGCATCGAACGTTGGCTTCGAGCTATCGGACCTATGCTACACTATTCTCAATTTTCTCGACGTATCAATATTTCCGCCAGTGCGAAAGAGTGAGGCATAGTGAGGGTATGACGCGACTTGGATTTGACTTCAGTTTCCTGCATTATGTTCTGTCATACCTCTTTTTTTGACTAAGAGCAGCACCTAGTAATTGACTCTCAACAACGGTTCTTTACCTTGTAGATAAGGATATACTGCAAGAGGCTAAGAAAAGCTAGCTTTGTGGAGATAATAACCTTAACAAGCCTCTCAATGTGGACTGATATCTCTCCTAGTTTCGGATCCTAGTGCTTATACCGAAAATTCACGATAACATTATTGAACGATAAGGTCAGCTTTTGTTCTATAAAACCTTACCGGCCCTTGTTGCAAGCACCTACCGGATGCCGCCAGCTTAGCATGAGACTTACACCGTAGGCCATAGTACTTACGGAAACCTTCCGCTAAATCCGGACATATATGCCCCCCTTCCGATGTAATTTCTTACCAAATATCTATATTTGTAATTTGAAGGTTTTTCTTGAAGCCCTCCCACTCGTGGGAATCTCTTCGACACCAGTATCATCTCTCTCTAGTTTTCCGCTGAACGACAACAGTATAGCAAGAAACGCGAGGTCCCACAAAATCAAAAGACGTTTCTTCGCCATACTTCCAAATCAGGTCCTCTTCAAACATTATAAGGAATAGTCCACTCGGCCGAAGCCGAGTGAAAGGAGCCTATCATCAAACTACTCTCTTTGGTTCTTTCCCGAACCATATTTTGATGCGCACTATACCCGTCATGACTAGTGTCAACTTGACCCCTGTTCTTGTGTTGGAGCACCTGAATAGTCCTGCACCTCATACCGCTGTTTGACCGTGTCTATGACACAGGGCTCCCCGCTTTTTGTTCAACATCTTGGCAGGATCCAGTTACGGGTTCTATATCATACTTGTATGTTCCATAGGCTTCTAGAACGATTATCTACAAACAAATCAAACAGATCTAGGGGTATCTGGTCTGGCCAGCCTGGCACCTCTGCTTCCCACCTTCCGTCAACCACCCGCAATCCACAGGACTGGACACTGTGGGCCCTCTCGCATGTAGAATACGTTACGGGTACCGCATCTGAAAGATCGCTTGTCGGATTACCACTTGAAGGGCAGATCGATGAAGAGACGTTACCCTACCTTACTAAGATCGGGAGCAATTCTACCCTGTACACATTGGACTTATTTAATGACAGGTATGGTGTCAAGGGCAAGCTTGCCTTCGGTGCCTACTCAACAAGTTGGCTATGCCGGGTTCTTCGGTGTGTAACTCGGTAATCAAATCCCTCGTTAGAACGTAGCTATCCCTAAGGTCCTACTTTGCAAGCTATTCCTCTTATCTCAGGGTGACGATAAACTTCTCAACCGTATGCTGTGATGTTCTCATGCATTGGGAGGAAGTCTCTTTCCTTGACATTCCTTGACATATAGCGATGCGAAGATTTAACACTTAGGAAGGGTTTCTACGAAGGCGTGACCGGTTAGCCTCATGAATCCAATAAATCATGAATGAGGGAGCATTACTTGAGTTGCAATGGTCCGAAGTATAGTATCCGTTGATATAGCACTTCAATCCATGGTTATAGTCCCACGCGCTTAGCATAATTAGTTTCAATCCATGATTTCTTCAAGCATTAGCTTCTACACTCGACTTACCACACCCCATTATAACAGTCTCCCGTCTTGTAACAAGAGAAATCCCAAGCGTCTCCATCCCCAATAGTGGTAACAACGTGGGCGTCGAAGTACGGCTTACTTCTGCATTTGACAGCGCCGTCATTATTGAAGACGTTGCACATTGTTCTTTTTTCGATGGTTGGAGATGCACTGACCAGGAGGGGTATGCCCAAGCAAAGAAATGTGGAAATGGTCTTCATGTTGGGAGCTGATTATGGGGCTGCAGATGAGTGAAGATTATGAGAATCTTCAGACAGGGGCGATTTGCGCTTTTTATATGCGTCCTTAGAAGTTGACTTGCTAGAAATAGAACGGGAAAACTAGTCCACAGAGTTTGGTTACTTTTTAGGTCGGGAGTACTTATCTCATCGAGGTAAGGTCCACTGGGCGTTCGTGTTCATATGCACCTATTGGATGTTGCTGTAGAGATTCTTCTATAAGGATGTCTGGTATACGAGGTTACATCGCAGATACCCCTTCCTGTAGATTCTCCCGGCCGCACGACACCCGGCACTGGCCAAGGGGGCTCTTATACTCCAGTCCCAACGCCTGCTTTGAGTTGGTGAAAGGGTCAGCCTGATGAAGGGGTCGAAGGCACTAATTGTGATTTGACGGTAACTGCTTGCCTCGTGACTATACGAGGATGGACTTCTAAATCTAGAGTTGCCAAGACGCCAAGGGGAAAGGGAACTGAAAGAGCCCGTCCCGAACCGTACCTGGACACGTTCTATTCGTGGACTGAATTTGTGCCTTGAATTTGAGTTTCTAGTGCCACGGAAAATATACCAGAAGCGAGTACTACAAACACAATGCTACTCTATTTATTGGATCCAAGGAAGTAAAGGCGCACAAAAAGTTGCCGCGGAAGCACACACGCCCGTACCAATGTGAACCCAGTCCAGGGCCAAACATTAACCGTCTAAAAAGAACGCTACGGAATCGCTAGCCTATGCTAGTACAGCGAGGTAGAACGCTAATAATGACGGAAAAGATTCTTATTAGAGGGCCCCTACACCACCCACCCCCCAAAAAAAGGGAAAAGGGAAAAAGTAACCAAGTTTAAATGCCCTATAGGATAGCAAATAAGGGTCTGAAATGATAGTGATAAGCAAAGATTAAGATAGAGGTGAAGGATCCTAACGCAAGTATCTAGACACCATACCCACTATCACGCTAGCTAATAATAGGCAAACCACAACATCAGAAAACTTAAATCCCCTAATCTCCCACTATATTCTACTGGAAGTCTTATAGATCAAGCAACGGCATAGATATAGAAGGGTGAATGCGAGACAGTGGAATCGCACTCTACATAGTAGGATTATCTATGACCTCCATCCGTGACTATATAGATAACTGAAATCGTGACTATCTAGCGCTTATTACCTTTCTAACGGTTCCAGCCAGCTTAGCCGAAGGCGCCAATGTTCTCGTAGCTAGGATAGGAAAAACATGCAATAATAGGAGTTCTCTCGGCCCCGTGTTAAGCATGCTCTAACTAAGCGGTTAATTTAAACAGAGGTGCTGCATTTTCCTACAAGGTAAGGTGACGGTGTCGGCATATTAGGAAGCTCTCTCCAAATTGACTTAAGATCTAGGTCCAAATCGTTGTCTTAAGGGACTGATCATCAGCGCCGACACTATAGAGTATAATCCAACTAACTCATCAAGTTGTCCCATGATTCCCGTGCAACAAGTGCCACGTTTCAATACAAAAGGTGTTCCCGAAAGAAATAACAGAATTAGAGATTCAGGAGGATTGGGGGGTTTCATAGGGACCTTATATGTAGTGGTCAGAATGACTAGCTTCTAGGTAGAAAAAGCTCATCGAGGATGGACGAAAACGTTCGAGAACAGCCTTGACTATGTTAAAGAGAAGGCTACGTTGCCCAGTGATAGTTTCTCTTGAATTATGTAGAAGCAAACGATGAATGATTTGTTTTCCGTTGGAACTGTACACCAGTGGTAGGGGTCGGGAATGCCTGCCCCACTCATACTCCACCCTTTTAAACTATCTCTACCGGTCGTTGCCTGGCAGCCTTGTTCAACGCAAGAACCACGAGACTGGGCCCACCGCAACACTGTCCTTCATGTTAAATAGCCTCTTCCAGGAGAAACCAGAAGTTCTTCGAGAATCAGTCTCTGTATTCCTCCAATACCACTTCTTCCTTAGGCATCTTCACCTTACTTAGTTGGCAGGCTCTATCCTGCAAAAACTAGAGCCCTTTACTTTACAACCGGCTTTAGCCACATACCGACCCTTCACTGTGCCGTTCATATACCCTTTCATTAGTACTCGTTTGCGGACGAGAAAACCAGGAAGTGATCCCCAGTCGCAGTGGATGGGTGGACGTGAAGTTCTGTTCCCCCGACGCGTTCGAGCCCACCCCCCCCCCCCCCCCCGGAGCTCAAGAAATGAGCAACGAGAACAAAGATTAGCTAAGGCTCTTGGTCGCTTATTCTGCTAAGGCAGATGCATGTCCATGCAGTAACCGGTTTACTAACCAGACACTCAAGAGGGACTCTCTGCGCTGTTGATTCTTTCGACGGAGTTTTTGTCTTCGTATCAATGTCCTCTCCACTGCATGCTCTTGTATGGTTTGGCCTAGCTGCATTGAGCCTTCCCAGCCGGCCAAAGCTCTGGTATGCTATCATCTCTTTTGGCATGCTGAAGCTGCTTTTACGATGCCTGAGAGAGATATGCTATTACTTGAACACTCAACTCCACAGGCTGAACAGTCATCCAAAAATGCGTCGCAAAAGGTCCAACAGTTGACACGACAAGATATCTGCGCTTGGAAGTCCTACTTTCATCGCGACCATAAGCTCCAGTGATTACACTAGTTGTTGACCTCGGTTGTCTACTTGATATCCTTCACTAGTATATGTTGGGAACATTTAGGTGATAGCTTGGAGGCTGGAGATAACGTAACGAACGACTGGGATTCTCCAATCAGTTGAAATAGCTTTTTGATCAATGGTTAGTGGTGAGCTGCTCTTATTATTGTGTGGGCGGGACTGTCAGCCGTTGTAGGCTTGGTGTCAGTCCTTGCGTCAACTAATGATCCACGTAAAGGAGGGGAACAGCGGATCATCAGTTAGGTCTAAAACGAGGGCTCAGTCTAACCAAGCCGGCCAAGTACTGCCTCAACTTGTCATGAACAGCTATGCCACTTACCATTGTAGAGGCGACTGGTTCGCCAATGGAAAGATGTTCGAATGAAGAATAACAAGGAAATTCACTCCATTTCCTCGTTGTTTTGGATATGCTCTTCTGCAGTCTAATGGCATACCAATAACTCGGTTGAACACGGAATACTTTTGAAGACAATTTTCTAGATAGAAATCTAAGACTAAACGCCCGCCGCTCCAGTAAAGTTCAGCTATATCGACACTGTTTCAATAGTGATCGGTTGTATCGAAATCATTCACTTTTGTATAGTCGAAGGTGTCGATGCGACGTTAGAGCTTGTGGTTGCGAATTGTGAAGCCCAGGACCGATCCCCCAAGTGAAAGGGCGAGCGACAAAACTAACTCAAATTAGATAAAAAGTGCATCCTCTCATTAACACCCTCAGAAAAACTTACGGTATGTGTGTCGCAGTCCGGCTACATAGCTCCTCACAACTATATGTCGAATCTCTCCCGTAAGACCCGAGATGTAGTAAGTATTGGCTAAAGAGCCACGGATGATCTGATAATATTAGCTAGAATGACATGAATAAGACATGTTGAACACTAGAGAATTTCTCACCTCCTCTGCATTTGGAACTTTGAGATCTTTCAGCATCTGCTTTTTAAATGTAGTCATTAGTATTGAGTTTGAAGTAGTTACACCAGCGGTCATTGCAATGCTGAACAGGAGCACATATCCACCAGTTGCCATTATGATCTCCTCGGGATCCAAGAAAGCTGCCATGGCAACAAACGAGGCAGCAGATGCGAATGCGGTACCTATTCCACTAGGAACGATGAACAGTGACTGCCACGGTGTGGTATTACCGTCCCAGAACAAATAGAGCAAAAGGTAGGTAATAGATGCCACAATTCCTGCCACAAAAAGTACCAGCTTGTAGTAGCCGGTACGTCGAATGAACCATCCTGCTACCAACCCACCGATTGCATTGCCCAGTACTGCTGGAACAAGGTGTGCGCCAGCAACGGTCGTTGGGGCGTCCGCAGTGACCTGAAAATACAGTGGTATAGTAAACATCATACTTGACTGAGCTGCAGTCTGCAGGACGCTGATGAGATAGCACATTGAAACGTTGGGAAGACGAAGGATTCGTAAGCCGAAGATTGGCTCTGATGCCATATAGCTCTCATAGTAGGCGAATGCTGCAAGAAAAGAAAGCCCGGAAACTGCAAGCATGAGAGCATATTTAGACGACCAGGCGAAGACGTTTCCGCCGCGATCAATGAGAAGGGTAAATGAAACGACACTGCTGGCTAAGAGTATGGCTCCTAGGATGTCAATTCGGCGAACTGAGGGTCGGAGATCCCCTTCCACGGTGTCTGAACGGGGTGCAAGTCTTAGGAAAATGATCACAATAATTGCGGCAAATCCAAGTAGAGGGGCTTGAGAAAGGAAAACCCTGATTGAAAGAGAGATGCGATGTTAGTTTGGCATTACAAAGGTAAAATGGAATGCTAGCCCTACCATCGCCATCCAACGGTATCTGTGAGCCATCCTCCTATAGGGCCGCCGATGCTACGGCCCAGGGTCATGGAAATATTGACAACTGCTCTCCAACTGGCGAAATCCCTTTTAGGAACGACATCTAATTTTTTGTGAGTATGGTCTTATCAAAACAGGAGCGTTTTCGTACCCAAGATGATTATTGAGCCCATGGTCATTATTCCCGCCCCGCCCATGCCACTGATAACGCGCCCAATGATGACAATTGACATCGTGGGTGCGATACCACTATAATTTCCCTATGATTAGCTACCAAAAAACAGTAAAAAAGCAGTGATCGTAACACACCAAATAACACAACCCAACGCAAGAAGAAAATACGACGCCAGAAGAACCGGCTTGCGGCCATATATAATGCTGAGTTTGCCGTACTGAAATCGATTAGTCCAGAAGCCACATTGGATCACTGATACGGAGACATACAATCAACTGTACAGCGCCAGCACCCAGTGCAAAAGACGTAGCCAACCAGCTTGCATCCTGTAACCTGTTGAATCCAGACGAAATCGAACCTGCGGCGGCCATCACAATTGTCGAGTCCGCATTAGAAACGAATTCACCTACTGATGTCAGTGTCAGGGCTGCGAAATCTCAGTTTTTCCTCTAACCAAATAAAAGAACCACGATAATGCTGCCAACACTACCCAATAATTTTCCACTGGTGTATTTCGTGCTGGTGCAATCGATTGATTCTTCCTCGTCGTTGACTGAAGGGCATCTCTGCGTGCCCGACAATAAATGCGTCTGGTTAAATGTCTGATATGATTGATCTGGGCTCCCTTCATGTTGTCGATCTGGGTCAAGAGGCGTGGTATCGTCGGTGGAAGTAGCCATGGTATCTCTTGTGACTATGGGGGTGTGAAAAGTGGTGTAAATGTGAGGGCCAAAATCACTAATTATAGCAACAAAACGAAAGAATTTTGCTATGTATTCTGGAAAGATAAATTAAAACGAAGGGGGGCCTTGGAATCAAAAAAAGTGAGAGTAGAAGGCCCAATAAGTCCAAGATTTAATTGGAGACGCGTTCTGGGAGTTCCATTGCGCCGTACAGTAATTCGCCTGTAACTGTGTGACATAGAATTTTATATAAATCGAAGCAAAGATGCAAATGATGCCATTTTAGAGGAATTGTTCTCATACTGTAGTAGCTGTCTCCAAACTTATTGGCTCCGGCACCTGCAGTATGTGTTAGTGCGCTCCTTTGTGGAAGAAGCGGGTCCTTCAGTACGCCAGAATTGGACCCGTAGGTCACGACATAGCGGCTAACGATAACGTGCTTCTTTTAAGGTCCATCCTATGATGTTAACGGATCTTGTGATTTACTTACCCTCGCATAGAGTATTTATTCCTGCTTGTATTTGCAGCATGAATGCGCCATCTTCAGATGCCATAGTTACGCCTATTTTATACTGATGAAGTACATCCAACAAGGGCTCTCCGAATGTCCAACCACAACATTGCTATTACTCTCGCCGGCGTCCGGGTTCTCACTGCGACGCGACAGCATATTAAAGGGGAGCCATGGCATCAGTCAGTTGCCCCGAGAGCCTGAGGGCTTGGGTTATATTTGCAAGATATTCAAAGCATGAACCGGTTGTGTTAAAAGTACAAAAGGGTTGTAATCTAAACCCAGTGATGCCACTCGATACCATTCCTGTAGGTCAAAGCGGTTTGAGGCCCCTCGGCATCAAGAAGATAACCAAACTCGCAACGGCTGAATGAGACCTTTGATTGTGCATGATAGAATCCATCGTATTTCACGCCTAGCGCATCCACAAGAGACTGGACATCTCCTTCGGGGTGTAATACGTCCCAGGGATGAATGCAGGACTTTCCCTGGCATGATTTGAGAACAAGAAGAAGCGCATCCAGACGTTCAATAACTTTTGTGAGCGGGAAGCCGAGAAGTTCCCAATCGATGTCGCTAGAGCCTTTCCGAGGATCTGACACTGGATAAAGGTTGTTCAGCTCGTATGGGTCAGTCTTTGAAAATCAGCAAAGCTCCATTAGTAGCATCGGGTTCGCGATTGAGAGATACACGCACCTTGAGGTCGTAAAGTTGGTGCTCGTTCGTGCACCACACCGAGTAATAGATATCATATTCGCTGCTATGAATACGAACAGATTTATACGTATTGTTCAGGATAACTTGGGGATTGTCAGGTCCTGATGCGAAGAGAGCCATGTCAGTTTTAGATCTTGGAAAATCTAGCACAGAGTATAATTACCGAGAGAGTTGTATTTCCCCTCTGCGACGGCCAAGCCCCAGAACTCAACAGTGACGTGCTCATGCCGTGGCTGATCATTTGACTCCGATGTCTGCTTCAATGGCATAGGCGTACCATCAAAGTCAGAACGAAGAGGTAGACCAGCTATCTCAAAGATCGTCGGCGCTAGGTCAACGTGAGTAGTAATTGCCACCTCATCATGATTTGCTCTTATCCCAGGACCCCGGATAATAAGAGGGACTCGAATATCCTCTTCAAACCCACATTCTTTGCCCGCCTGGAGACGATGCTGTCCAATGTGATACCCATTATCTGAAGTGTAGATGATATAAGTGTTGTCCAGTATTTGCCTGGCCTCCAAGACGTCAATGATTTCGGAAATGAGTTCATCCACTGGCTGTAGAGCTCGTAGTCTTGAGCGATAAAAGTGATCATTGTAATCGACATTGCTTTGGTTCTGTTTCGGTAGGCGTTTGATCCAGTTTACACCGCTCGGCTTTTTACCCTCGTGTTAGACATTGCATTGTTGCACTTGTAAACGGGCTGGAGATATACCTCATCAGGATTGAAATTCGGGGTACGCGGTATCTTAACATCTTTGAATAGATGCCTATGGCGTTCCGCAGAGATTGGTGGTGTGGAATTCAGATCCTCACTAGGCCCAATAGGGCCATTCGTCTGTAGGTTTGAGTGAGGAGCTACTGGAGCAATAGTGAGGAAGAAGGGAGCTTTGCCGTTGGTGGCTGAGTTTAATAGTTCCAAGGCTTTTTCTTTCAGGACATCCGTGGTGTATTGACCTTCATAACTAACGGGCGGTTCGAAGTTGCGTTGGTATGTTGCGTTGAGATAGGAATAAGTGTATGGATCCAACAAGAAATCTGACGAATTGAAGCCATTGGGAAATGGGGTATTGTAATTATCGACTGTGTGTGCATTGAACAACTTCCCAGTATAAAGAGTGTTGTAGCCCGCATTCTGAAGCCAGATCGGAAGGTAGTTCTCGTTGAATCCACGTTCAACAAACTTTGGATAACCACCTACAGAGCATTAGATATAAAGTCGAAGCTCATGAAGTAGCTCAGTAATCTTAAAAAAACTTCTGCTCACCATACGGAGGATTCACGTCGGTAACATTTGTGTTATGAGCCAGCCGGCCTGTCAGAAGGCTGGCCCGCGATGGACAACAGATCGCCGTGGTGGCAAAATGATTGCGGTAGAATGTGCCCTTCTGCACTAGATGTTTGTTCAACTGAGGCATATGAGATATCGAGTCAAGCATCAGATCCTGGTCATCGACTAGGATAAAGATGATGTTTGGTTGGCCGTTCTTTGGGCTGGCCCCAAGAATTGGTTGCTGTTGGTCGTCATATCCATGTGCGCATGACCTTTGCACTATACTGAGCGCGACAATTAGCTTACCAAGGAACGAGGCTCCCACCATTTTGTTCTGCTTCTGTCTCGATTTCTGTGGCATCTGAGGTTTATCCACGCTTTAAATATCCGCGGAAATCGGAATATCTCATCACCTTACATAATGTATAATTCTGATCTGTTCTTGCGGCGATGAGAAGAAGCACGTTATTTTTAACCGATATGTCGTGAGCTACATGTATGATCTTGGCGTATCGGAATTTTCCACGGAATATTAGCATACTTTGCAGGTGTGGGACCAATCTCTGCCGGCCCATTTAATGTCCTCTTGCACCCCACACTCCACCTGGGGCGCGGAGACTCAGCGGGTAATTAATTAGGGCCAAAAAGATGCTTGGTGGTCAACTTACCTGAGCGCATTGCAATCGTAAAGCTCTAGGAACGGAACTCTGATCATGATAATGATGTTTGGCCGAAGATTTACCGAAAACAGTGCGGCATTGCTTGGCGAGATCGCATCCTAAATACAATGTTTAACAAGGACAATCTAATCTTTGTTCTCCTTCAAGTCTCACTTGCTTTTATCCGATACGAACGACTTGCCCGAAAATCTAAATGACACCAGATAGTCTACAGAACTTGAGTGGTACAGGATTCATACTGGAGACTGCTAGCGAGATTGCGTCTTAGCACGTCAGAGGGCAATATATGCTCCCTCGGCCATACTCCAGTCTAATAAGCGCTACTGCGAACACCAGCCTATCAGAAGATGCAAGTGCAAGACAAGCTCCTGGCGGTGTCTAAGATTTGAAGATATGGCCAAGATATTTAGTCCAATCTTAGATGATTCTTGGTGAAATTGTCTCATTTATACCCACAGGCACGACATGTGGCTGCTGCAAGCCTTCACTGAGCAGAATTGCATGAATACAGCCTTCAAACAGTACTCTTGCCTAGTGATAAAAGTATAAACAAACCATGACAAGAACTTTCGCCATGCCCATAGGTTGAAACCATTTCGTGCTTGGTGTCTTATTAATTCGCGGAACAGAGAATCATGGCTGCTGAGAAACAAGATACCGTGCAGGTATCTGTTGATCAAGGATCACCAGATAGAAGCATTGGAGATGACCTAGAGAAGAAAGGGTCTCAAATTCAACAATATCAAGCAGGAGCCTTTGAGACGAGGGAGGGTCATCACCATTACCGGCCAATTGACAGTTATGAGGGAATTCATCGATGGGACCCGGAGTTTGAATGGACAGAAGAAGAAGAGAAGAAGATCGTCAGAAAGGTAGGTTTCTCTAGAGCCCAACTCTGTATAGACACTCACCTAATTTATAGATCGACGCTCGTGTCTTGACCTTTGCCTGTCTGACGTTCTTCGCATTGCAGCTTGACCGAGGGAATATTGGCCAGGCACTATCGAGTACATTTCTCCAAGACCTGGATATGACCAGCAACGATTTCAATCTAGGCCAAACCGTCTTTTATGTATGCTTCTTGTTAGCTGAGATGCCTTCTCAGCTACTATCTAAGAGGATTGGCCCCGACCGTTGGATTCCCGCTCAGATTTTCTTGTGGAGTCTAATTGCCGCCTGCCATGCGTTTCTGAAAGGGCGAGGTGCCTATTTGGCTCTTCGAGCTTTGCTGGGGCTTATAGAGGGTGGATTGTACGTATTATTTCCCCTCTTCTACGTCGACAGGAAACTTACAACATATGATAGCATCCCCGATACAATCCTTTTCCTCTCCTTCTTCTACAAATCTAATGAGCTTCCCAAAAGACTTACTTGGTTCTGGATCTCTTGCACAATTGCAACAATCGTGGGGGCATTCATGGCATTTGGTTTCCTCCACATTACCGACTCCCATGGAGGAGGATCCTGGCGATACCTATTTGCCTATGAGGGTTTGGTGACCGGCGTTATCGGAATTATCGCCGGGTTTTGGATGCCTGCATCGCCCGTACAAACGAAAGGATGGTTGCGCGGAAAGAACGGATGGTTCACCGAGCATGAAGAGAAAATTATCGTCAACAGAGTCATTCGAGATGACCCTAGCAAGGGGAGTATGCATAATCGACAAGCGGTGACACCAAAGCGGCTATGGGCGTCACTGAAGGATTTCCATATGTGGCCGATTTACTCCCTTGGACTTATTTGGGCAATTCCTTTCACCCCAGCGGGGGATTACTTAACGCTACAACTACGATCGCAAGGGTTTACGACTTTTCAGACTAATCTATTGGTTATTCCTTCGTCTGTTATTGGGATTATCACTATGGCAGCCATCACTTGGGTCGCGGAGCGCACTAATCAACGCTTACTCTGGGGTGCTGGTGTTGAGTTGTGGAACTTAGCTCTGCTAATAGCGTTGGAGTTACTCCCTGAGCGAAGTATGCCATGGCAGCGATGGGTAGTGTTTACGCTTCTCGTTGGAGGCCCGAGTATCCATCCCGTCGTGGTGGCTTTGGCCTCCCGAAACGCCGGTTCCGTACGAACTAGAACTGTTGCTACGGCATTGTATAACATGTCTGTGCAGCTCAGCAGTATTGCCAGTTCTAATGTGAGTCCCCTTCAGAGCTGCCTCGTTCTGCGTTCCATAGAACGCAGTCCGCATTGCATATATTAATGATTCTCCAAAGGTATACCAAGCCAAGGATGCTCCATATTACAGACACGGGAACAAAGTTTTGATCGCGTTAGCTGTGGTCAGTATGGCCCTTTTTGTGTTTGGGAAGTTCTTCTACGACTTCTGGAATAGGTATATTGATCGCTTTGCCATGAGTCAAGAAGGGATGGGGTGTTCTTGCTGACAGCTATGTAGAAAAAATGCCGCAACGTGGGATGCAATGACCAGCGAGCAACGCGAAATTTACCTACGTGAGAACCCAGAATTAACCAATAAAAGGTAAAATATCATGGCATCGGCATAACGACCAAAAGTGTCACTTTGCTAACGCTTTCCAAAGACTTGATTTTCGCTTCGCTCGTTAGAGCTCTAGACGCTTTTGAAAGGCCTGTGGCAATCAACAGACGGGAACTCAGGATCACATTTCTCTTAGACTACTATAGGTTCTGCTCACACATGCAATATTGGAGTGAATTGGACAACGTCAAAAGTTGCATCATATTAATTCTCGAGTGGATCAATCTTCGCGTCCAGAAGTTCGGATATTATCCAAGCACAAAATCATATGGAGCATGCTTCTTACCAGCCGAGCCCTCTGAAGACCGACGGTAGAGGGTTTGAAGTCAAAGCCAGAGTGTAAGTCGGCCTGAGCTTGTGTAGCCAAGAGCGTACTGGTGAACTTTTAACACGGTGGACAAATGCATGGTGAAGGGGGTAACAAGCCTCGGTCCATTTGGTGAATGAATTTGAAACTGTCGTGATCAAAGCTGCCTTTATAGTTTCTCATTCCGGCAGTTTCGAGTCGAAATCTTGGAGGTTTTGGGGAGTTCATAGTATAATCCGGTGATGGTGTATATAGTACTCGGCTTTCAAAGACCGGAGGTCCCAGTGCCGGGGTGTGAATGTTCTCCGGAGGCTTGGCAGGCTCAGGAATATTGGACCACCTTTGCCGTTCATCCCCGTTGATCTGTACATATTAACGGCACTTCGGTACGAGCAGGATCTTCGGGGGGCAGTGCTTTTTCTCATTCCCTGGATTGGCTCGGCGCGCATACACTTCGGATCTCCTTACTCAGCGGCTTTAATTGCGGGCACGGGGAATCTACATCCGACTCGGGACTGAAAAACTGGTGATCACAGAAGAGCTAAACTGGATGGTCATGTACAGATAGCGCAGATTACAAGCTTCAACCTCTCAATAGCACCGTAGACACAGGCTAGAAGCTTTACTGCAACATATTCCATTTTGTATAAAAGTTCCAGCTGGCTTCTCGTTTACCCTGCCAAAAGGGCGCATCGAGAGTCTTTAATTGAGAGCAAAAATAGTTAATCTAGCGAATTCAATGAATCCGTGGTAGGTTATAATTGATCTAGTAGGTATGGTACTAGGTCAATGGACCCAGAAATACAATGCAGCCATCCGTATAGAGAGAAAATTAAAAATCAAGCCTTCGGATGAGATGATTTGCTGGTCCTTGAGCGAACCTTGGATGCTTGAAACCCTTACCCCCGCTGAGTCAGCGGAACCTAGCTTCATCTTGGCAATGAAGAAGCAGATAGGAGTCCCACGACATTTCCATGTTTGAAGTGACGATTTACCAAGGAAACAACAATTTAGATTCCCGCATTCTGAGGAACTTATCTCGTGCCGACGAACGATGCTTGGAGATGGCAACCAAGGCTGAAGTCTTGCGCGGTAGAAAACGAAATAAGTCTCTGATGTATATAACTGTGCTTTTGAAGTTCTCTCCATTCTTTCAAATCTTCTTGAAGCTCTCCACCGACTTGCTCATTACTTTGCAATCAGGGTCTTGTCACGGCCAATACGCTGTTTTCTACCCCGAACCCGGGGGCATGGAAGGAGCTCCGGCCGCGTTTCCTCCCTGCCTTGTTAACAACCTTCGTCCTGCTGTTTTCTGGCGAAATTGTCGTATCTTTCGGGGACACAGTACCGCGACTCCACTCGAATTCATAATCTCAACGTTCTTTACGTCGATTTCGAAACGACATTCCCGACAGCATCAAATCTTTGGTCAATTATAGTACTAATAAGCAACGTTTATAGTGTTTTTCATTAGCCCGAGCATTATTCGCTTATTACAACAGTTTTAATCCAAGTGTTGTAGGAATTGTAATCTCCATTATTTGGAGTACTATCTTTGCTTCATCTTCTTGGGTTGGAATATCGAAAACAACGAGGATTAACGATCTATATATCTCCATTGAGCCCTTTTTCTAGTAGCAAGATAAACAATATCTTCGTTCTGCCGCTTAGAAATCTGGTCAAGCGGACACGACCCACTGGCGCCAGTTCCCTTGATATCACAGCCAGCATCAATTTGTTCCATGCATATATTCAAGATTCTTTGGTCTTTTCTCGCTTGATTCAATCGGCGGCACAAAATAAGGAAGTCGTCCTCAATTGCGCGACAGTTCACATTTTTGTTCTGCGTTCCACTTCCAGAGGTTTGGTTATGGTCAACTTTCTACTCAGCAGTGTCAGTCTTAGCATACATCTTAGTGATAGTGTAAATAGGATGTTTACCGAATGCGAGGATGAGGTGTTAGTATCAGACCGGAGATAACATTTGCTCCCATCTAAGAGCCTCTCCGAGCATGATGATCTTAGCAAATATCGATTGCTTCTCTTTGTCGAATTTTGCTCCAAAACACACATATCGCGCAGTCACAGATTCGTCTGGCGGGGCTGATCGAGTAAGATATCTGAAGGTCTAAATTTTCGATTTGATGTCTTTGTCCCGACTTAAACAGGGGAAAGTACTTGTACCTATATTCTGTCGCCCAGCATCATGCCTGTTAAACGTTACTGGTTCATACAATAATTAGAATTTATGGCGTCTCTTACTGTCCATGGTGACAGATGAAATCTCGGCAATCGGGACTGGTAAATAAAAGCTTCCAGAAGGTTTCAATGAATGCGAAAAGGAATCTTGTAGAGGGGCGAGATAACCATGGGTTGGCGAATTCTCACGTCATGTCAACGCCTACTGTACCGAGCGCCACACAAAGACGCCTACGTTTTATGTACCGTGGTAAGACTATCCGGTTGGTGGAGGTCAATCCTGTACCACTGCTGCTACTGAGATTATCCGCTGACTCATGCCAAATGCGTTAGTGAAGCAATAGAGTGAAGGGTTCCAGATTTTTGTTTCTAGAATTATGTGTCTTTTCTAGCTAGCTTCGCCAGATCCCAGAATATGAGAGCATCATGGCTTACAGCCAAAGGCATCATTTTACACAATTCATGCGACTCCAGTGGATAGGCTCTCGGCACAAATTTGGTAGGACTCTGCTGAACCCTCACTAGATGTTCTCATCAGTATAAAATAGGCGTAATGAGACTTCCTATTGGGGCGCAGAACTTTATTATCTCGTTGCCATTCATCAAATATCAAAATCCTCTTTTCTCTGCTTACTTTTCCCTTCGGTACATCGTGAACCTCTGTTTATGAGGTTTTTCTCGATTTTACCTAGCAATTTGTGAAAATTATGCTAGGTAGCCACGGGAGTGTATGACGCCTATGACGCCTACATCTTTATGCGCTATTCTATTTTATCGCTGGCCAATTGGAGCTAAACTGTGCAAGTTTTGATTTCCGCTAGATCCTTTGGTTAAAATATGTTCTGGAGTTGTCGATTTTGCGCCCCTTGGTCAACACTTCCATGTACTTCCATACGCCATGGGTCGTACCTTGTATAGAAAATTGTGGGAGACTGCAAAAATACGCTTTTCTCCACCTCTGGGCGTACCATATTCTACCAGATCTTGGATTTAACCAAGCATGTTAGCCCACGGTACATAAGGATAAGCGACGGGTTCGGCGAATCATTTTCTTGGGATTCACATACCACGTGGTCACCTCGTGACCCACGTGGCAGGCGGTGTAGAGTGTGATATACAAAATATTGGAATATTAAACGGGCTGGAAGTTGTGTCGCAAGTCCCACAGTTACAGCGACCCCGTTGACCAACGGCAACTTCGGGCTAGAGATAGCCCGAAGGAGTGGGAGGTAGCTCTTCTCTGGTGGGCTGTACATTCAAGGAGATTTATTGTATTTCAACCGATTTTCGCAAGCCAGTCAACAGATTAATTTTTATGCGTCCTTTGGAATGCCTTCTTTGCGTCTCTAGTGAGCAGATATTGAGTTACAGAGGTCAGAATTTGCGTTATGTCTCGCACAAGCACTGTACTTCAAATATGACGGGAGCACTACGCCTTCAAGGCTTGCAATTGATGAATGTACTATTGCACGAGGTAATACCGATGGGTGTGGTTCTCATATTCGAACACCGTCCCAAGTACGTTTGTGTATTGTTGTTGATTAGCTTCGCTCCTCTCCTTCTCTCTTTCTTCTTTTCTCTAGGATAGTGTCTTCGTACGAATAGACTCTTAATCATCAAAGACTTACCGACTCTCAGAGGCCAGCTATTTTCCCTAGTGAGATCCTCGCATTGCGTGATGCAAGTGGCGCTTCGGAGTTGATCGAAAACCCCGCGGCATTTTAAGGGGGTAGGTTGGGTGCCATTTTTAGGCTAAGATGTGTTATATCACAACTAACATTGGGTCTTTAGGAGCAACTAACGTTAACACTACATTAGCAGGGAGTGTTTAACTCTGTTGCTACCACTTTGCGACTGCCGCCGGCTGACAATATTGGAACCAATGTGGGATGATTGAATATAACATGTAGCTATGTGTCATAATTTATAGCATTCGGTCAACTCTCAATCTGACACCCCGACCGGATCATCTGTTCTTTGTTCCTGCATATCAGATCGCCAGATGAGCTTGGCATGTCAGATGTCAGATGAGGCTGATAATGATCTTACCTATCACTAAAATATGGGTTATGCATAAACATATCGTTTCAGCATAGCTATGACATGGCTTGGACCCTGGCCTCCGAGACTACATCTCCGAGTCTAGGCGAACATGCCAAGATATCCACGGCATATAACTAACCCCCGAGATCAACGGCTTCGGCCTGCAACGTTGCAAGCAGCCATCACTAGCGACTTCTAGTCCCTTGGCTGCATCTCTATTCACAGTATAAAACTGCTGGAACCCCTCTCGGGCAACTGATCGGCTGGTAATAAATCCCGACTTTATTCATGCGAGCCTTCTTTTATGCTTTAATGCGTTCTTCTGAGTAGATATGCTAATAATTCGGGCATACTCCCCGGGCCGTCCATAGCAATGTCTCACTATGTTCATCACATGAAAGAGCATCGTGATGGAGCTGATGATATAACAAACTGCAAAGCTGCAGGTCCATCTCTAAGCGAGCTGCAGGCCATTTGTTCAATATACTAAATGCCTCTGCTCTTGGCTGATACTTAAATGTGGACTTTCCTCCACGGAAGGTGCGGAGTGTTCTGACTCTCTTCCTTCACCCATTGTAGTCTGGAAATTCCAACCATCTTCGAGATGAGAGTGATTCTGTTAATTTTGAGCCTTTTGGCCTTTGGAGCTCACGCCGAAACTTCAAAGGCTTCCACGGAGAGCTTCATCTCATCTATCTGGGATGACTTCAAACATGCTGTGGATTGCGGTTCCTGCCAGGTATGTTCATCCTGGCACATGAACCATTGGGTAAAAGGCTTACCTGAATTACCCTGCAGGCTCTCTTGGGTGGTCTCAAGCTTGTCTCCGGGTTTGGCGAGGGCTTTATGATCGATGTCTTCATCGGCCTATGCAATCTCAGTGGCGTATGTCAACATTCTGAGTGCGCCTCACCAAATCATATTGACCAAACTACAGGTCGAAGATCCGGATGTTTGCCGTGGAATCATAGAGAAAGAAGGCCCTGCGCTTCATGATGCTTTCCAGAATTTGCACATCGGGTCTCACGCTACCAGGACGATGTGCGCTAGTCTGATCGGACTCTGCCAGTATCCTGAGGTTCGTTCTCGCACATTGCAGTTTCCTTCATCTAAGCCGGACACTACCAGACCACCGCCCAGCGGTGAGTCGCCAATCAAGGTCGTTCATTTCAGTGACACACACGTGGATCTCTTCTACGAAACTGGTGCCAGCTACGAATGCTCCAAGCCCATCTGCTGCAGGGTCTATGAAGATAAGGATGCCCCGGGAATCACTAAAACCCCTTGTGGTCCATTTGGAAACACCAAGTGCGATCCACCGCACATCCTTCAGGAGAGCATGAACGCAGCCATTGCGAAGATCGGCCCAGAGTTCTCTATCTATACCGGCGACGTGGTAGCTCACGATATCTGGCTAGTTGGCCAGGATGAAGCACTGCAAGTATTCAATGATACATACGGCCAGATGGAGAAGGATCTTGGTATGGTGTACGCTGCCATAGGAAACCATGACACGGCACCGGTCAATCTCTTTCCCCCAAATGATATCCAGACCAAGGACAGCGCCCAGTTTGCATATAACGCGCTCGCCGAAGACTGGTATGCCCTGACAGGCATTCCGTCCGTCAAGTCTGCAAATGAATTTGGGTCGTATTCAGCCATCCATCCAAACAGCAACCTGCGCATCATCTCTTACAACAGCATCTTCTACTACAATTTCAACTTCTACATGTACCAAGACCCAATGGAAAAAGATCCAAACGGACAATTCGAATGGCTCATCAAGGAGCTACAAGCAGCCGAAGATGCAGGCCAGCGCGCGTGGCTAATCTCACACATCCCATCCGGCGTTACCGATCATTTCCGCGATTATTCACAATACTTCGACCAGATCGTGCAGCGATACGAAGCAACAATCGCCGGTCTGTTCTACGGCCATACACACATGGACGAATTCCAAATTGCATACTCAGATTACAACAACCGCAAATGGGACACCGCAACTGCAATGGGATACATCGCCCCATCCATGACACCGACCTCTGGTCCTCCCTCATTCCGCGTCTACGAGATTGATCCCGTCACATACGGCGTGTTGGATTTTACTCAATACATCGCCAATATCAGCGATCCATCCTACCAGACAAAACCAGAATGGATCCCCTACTACTCCGCCAAAGCAGCCTACGGCTCAAAGCTCTCTCCTCCCCTGACAGACTCAACCGCAGAACTCGCCCCTGCCTTCTGGCACAACGTCACCGTCACCATGGAGAAAGATCCCTCCATCTTCCAGGACTTCTGGGCGAGGCGTAATCGGGGATGGAACATCGCCGCTTGTACTGGCGACTGCATGAAAAAGGAGCTCTGCACGCTTCGTGCTGCGGATGCACAGCATAACTGTCATGAGCCGGAGCCTGGTCTTAATATTAGTATCAATAAGCGTAATCAGGGGTCTGGAGATGCTCCCTTGGAGGGAGAGAAAGTGTCTGGTCCTGAGTGTGATCATGCTGGGATGGCGACGCTTTTGGGGAAGATTGCTTATCGTGCTCGGCATGTGCGTGAGGCTGAGGAGAGGGGTCTGGTCAGGGCCGAGGCTTGATCTTTATGTGGCTTGCTTGAGTGTCGCTGGGATGCTATGGTGTTGCAACCAGGGTGTTCCAAAGTGCTCAATGTTACAACAAGGTCATCTCATGATTGATAGATTTAATCAATATGGATAGTCTAGTCATAGTTTGACAAGATGATAGTGTTTCACGCCTCCGACTACTCTGCTTTGTGTATGATATCAACTAAACCGCGATCAAATCTGTTTCTATAAGTCCAAACGTAAAACTCCATCCGAACTACCAACCTATGATCGTCCCGTTCCAGCCCAAGCACGATCAATCTCCAGCTCAGCATCATACCCATAACACCACATCTGCGTTGCAGGATCACTCCACTGATTAAGACTATGACTAAACTACAACCCCGTCGTCTCCGGCTTCATTGCAGCATCACGGGCTTCCTGAAGTGGTCCATCTGGGAAATGCCAGATGCCAGAGTTTTCCATTCAGAGAACTCGCCTCTTGCATCAATCCTGCTCGCTGGATGCGGACTTCCTCGAATATACTCAGTGCTTTGGAGATCTCTGTTGCATTTTCGATTTTAGACAGGGATCTTGCTAGGGCTACGCCGTCTTCAATTGCTATTGCTGTGCCTGTGTATTGTTAATAGGTTCTTGGGGTTTTATATTCAAGCTCTTCAGGGATGAAAGTTCTTACCTTGAGACTATGTACGGCAGCATGGCATGGGCTACATCTCCCAAGATCACGACCTTGCCACTGACCCACCGAGATAAAGAAGTCCCGCTGATCAGTGGGCATTTGATAGTCTTTTCAATCAGCCAGAGCAGTTGCCTGATCCCAAGTCGACGGGTCACTATGATCTGGATGCGAGAGAGCCATATTGAACGACTTGCCAGCTCCAATGATATATGTCATAACATGTCGCTGGTCACCGACCCTAACGAGAAAGTCAACCGAGTCCTCATAATTTAGACACAACACAAACCAACCATAAATTAAGACTCGGTCGATCGAGCAACCAAGAAGGTTCCGGGTCATTTTTGATGCGCTCCACGTCGACGGTAGCACGATATGCCGCAACCCCAGTATTCTCAAAAGAAGAACGGCCACTCTCTTCAAGAATCGTCCTCGCAACCAAGTTCACTCCTGCCAAAAGTCAGATCTTCATATCGCTTAGCTCCAAATATAGTATATACCATCAGCCGCAATAATCAAATCACCCCTTATATACTCCCAATTCTTAAGTCCAATCTCTCCTCTACATCGATCGTACATAGTAACCCGCGCACCAAACCTACCTTGAACACCTAAATCCGCCGCCCGTTAGTAAAGCGTAGACCTCAAATCCGCCTAGTGAATCATATAGTACGGCGCACCATACAAATTCCGGAAATTAGGGATCAACCGCGTAAACCTGATCACTTAGCCGGTCTGCTATCTTCTAATAGATATTGCTTCTAGTTCGGTTACGTGTTCTTTGAGGTAGGGGTCTATACCGAGTTTGCTTAGGAGTCTTATTGAATTAGACAGGGTTTAGTTGCCTACGCCGACCTATATAGTAACTGGGGGTTAAGAATGTGTATGTAGGTTAATAATAGTAGGTAAACGGTGAGGCTTACTTCCTTTAGATCTTTAGTTTGCTTATAGACTGTGACTTTATAGCCTAAAGTTGCGATTGCGATTGCTATTACGAGTCCGCCTAGGCCGGCGCTACGTCTATGATGTTTAGGGGGACTTTCGCGGGTTGGGGGTCTTTTGCTGTGGTTAGGGGATTTAGGAAGGCGAGACAATTGCTCGGGTATGTTGGAGGCTGCTGAATTCTCATTAGGATCTGGCAATCTCAATATGTTTTGGAGGGGTGATTTACTTTCAAGAAAGGCTCAGCCACTATACGATTTTCGACGCCATTTGTCTGAAACTGTTTAGAATGAGGACAATGTATGGTAACTCGCTAACTATAGGATCCCGCGAGCTGGGAATGCCCCGTTGCCCCATTGCCCCGCATCTCGTGGATATGGGACGATGATTTAGTTGCGAAATACAATGTATCTATTTGGGGTTGATTAATCGATGTGTTGCCTAACTAACCTTTATGCAGTGAAAGATAATATTTATGAAGCCTCTGTGAAATATAGGTTAGGAGAGCATCTTTTGTCGAGATCTCAGTGTCACATCGGCTGCTGAAAAGAGAGGCAACAAAGCTGCAAAATATAACTTGCAAGGAATGAGCGGGGAAAAACTTACAACTTACCAGTTGATAATGAACGCGACTCCTTAAAACGGATTCATTGACTTCATAAAATCATCTGCTCGTCAAGCCACAAGAGAAACCCAGACCAGCATGTAAAGCATCATAATCTATAAAACGTCTAACCCGCTTCCCAAGAAACCCTTCGTACACCGTACACATGTAACATAGTTACTGGTTATACGGCTGAGTCCCTCGAACAACATACACCTCCCCAATAAGAACAGCACAACCCACGGCCATAGAAACAGCAATAATGGGCAAATTTACGCGCGCAAACTCCAAACTGCCAACCCGAATGTGTTTCCGCGACAAGATATCCCGCCACAGTAAGCCAGCCAACGAGGCACTAAACGCAGTACTGAAAGCACCAAAGTTGACACCGAGGGCCATGCTATATACAGTCGCCCAGAATGTCTGCTCGCTGATAGGGATATTGTTTCTGTCGTGGATTGTTTGCCATGCTTGGATGACGCGCGAGAGGAGGATTGTAGTACCGATATTTGTTCCGGCAAACTAATTGGAGGGAGTGAGGTTAGTCATTTCACACGCAGAGAGAACGAGTTATAGTGAACGGAACCCACATTGCATAGGATCACAGATAGGAATCCCATCCCGCCAACAGCACCCACAGTTCCGGTCTTATTTACCCAATGGTCCCATCCATATGCAAAAACAGGTACCCAACCCTTGGTGACTAATCCCTGCACAAGAACGAACATTGCGAACGCAAAAGGAACTAGTGGGAAGGGCATGTGGGATACTACAACAGTCACTGTCGGGAATGTCTCCTGGAGCCAGCGGTAGAGATCAGCACAGAGAGAGGCTAGCGTGGGTGGTCCGTCTTGTTGATAAGGACATGCCCGCTTCTCCTCATCAGTCGTGTCAGTCGTTTGTCGCGAATCCAGTGGTTCTGGGGAAGATGCAAGAGCCAACCGCTTATTGTCTAACGAGGAAACACCAGGTGACTCTAGATCTGGGAACCTTTCTTTGTCAACCAGCACAGAGACTGACAACGGCGTCCCAGAGTCTGGGTGGGAAGTCGAAGTCTTCGAGTCGATATTTGTATCCGCAGCCCCCAGTGATATCTCATCATCTGTGCGCTCAGTGCGCCTCGGCAGACCCGACAGATCCTGCTCTGAATGGTCCAGTCCCAGAATATCTGGAGATTGCGATTCCTCCCGTTCTCGCATTTCCCGCTCTGCTCGTGCATTCTCGACATCCCGTCGACCCTTTGCGGCAATCTCGCGTGTCTCGTGGCGATAGATCCAGCCAGAACCGACATCCCAGCAGAACATGACAAATGCAGCGGGCAATGTCACGTAAAAGACGGGTTTTTCATCTCCAGTTTGACTCGATGCGTTAATTGCAAGGAGTGTGATGAGTGCGGCGGTCATGATGACGGCTCCAAAGGCAGCACCTTTCTTGTCCAAGAATGGGTTCATGATCTCTTCTAAGGAGAGTTTCTTTCCTTCTGCGTTGTTCATGTCCTCTTCTTCTTCGGCATTGCCTCGGGCGTGGGGGATATTTGGGTTGACAGGCGTTTTGAGTTTATCTTCCTCGGAGAGCTCGTGCATTTTGATCGAGAGTGGAATAAGGGATTCATCGGCGAAGATAATGTAGAGCAGGAATGGGAATATGACGATGGCTGTTACAACTGTTGGCACGATCATGTTTGCTGTGTAGACGATGAACTTGATCTGGAAGGCGCCGGCAAGCACGAGGTTGGTTGGGTTTGAAGATACCAGGATTGCAGAGGCGATGTTTGCTATGGCGAACTGGCTATGGATCCATGCTCTGGGGTGAACGATATTGCTTGATACCCGGGTCATGTAGGCGAGAAAGGCTGTTCCGGATAGAATGATAGGGTCGTTTCCGATGAAACTACCAAGTCCGAAGAAGAAGGCATACAGGTAGAAGAAGAGTCGGTGGCCAACCTTGCCTCCACGTTCGAGAACTTTGAATGCTAGCCATCTGATCAGACCAGAGGCATCGATCGAGATTGCGATATATGCGAGTGTGAGGAAGAATGCCATGATGTCGATGGGCATGATGTGGTTTGCGCCGAGCGTTCCATCGTGTACTTCTTGTCGACCAATAGCCTGAATAGCTAGAAGGAAGAGATCTGCTATCAATGGTGCCGTGATGAAATTCAGCGGAAAACGAAACCTCACGAAGAAGCTTTCTTTCTCATTGTATCCAGGACGATTTCGGCGAGGTATTATGCGTATGGCGCTCAGCGAGTCCACAAATATGTTGGAAAGCCATCGAGGTAGGTATATGGGGATATGGAAGGGGAAAAGGACAATAATATCTGTAGAGCCACGAAACAGCGGTTAGTGTCAATCCTACGGTGCAACGCCGGTCACTTACTAGTTAGAACGAAAACGATTAGAGTAGTAATTGATCGCCAATTTTTGATTTTTGATGTATCGAGATCCTCGTCCATTTTGAGCATTTTGTTCTCCTTTTGGGGCTGCTTGAAGGTCGCGTGGGCTTCAGCTTTGCATGTACCTAGGTACTAGTGGTCAAGCGCCGAGTCAGTTGCCGAAATGCAGGGACAACGGAAATTCGCATGTCAAGATCCAGTTGTTAAGCCTATGGCAGACACATTTCTTTTCTGCAACTCCGTACGAGAAAATAGTGACGACAGGAGGTGCCTCTGGGCTTTTTGTCAAAACCCGGAGCAATGTTGTCACTTGATCTCTCTCCTTGCCGGGAAATCAAGAAATAGACAGGAATGTGGGGAACTGTGACAGGATGCCCCTCATAGTATCCTCGGCAGGTTAAGAATATTCTGCGACTTAAACCGGGCAGAAATAGGAGTGCGGCCTCTATTTGGAGCTTATGCCAGACTGGGGCTGTGGGCACGAGTTCCGTGATCAAAGTAGAGTGATTGTTGGGCTGTTTTAAAGTTGTACTAGAAGGCGGGCGAAGCAATGAAGTTCCAGCAGTCCCTAGTGCTACAAAAGACTGGGATAGGGCCGGAGCAGAGATTTTTGGGCTGAGGCTCAGAGGCAGCACGGACGTCAGGAGCAATCAGAAAGAGTGAAACGAGCACGAGAAAGCGAGGAGAGTGTGAGTAGCGTAAAATTAGGCTTAGACAAGTCATGCTAAGAGGCTAACTATGGGAGAATTTGCCCCGCACGTCTCCAGTCTTCACATCGACCCATGGTTGTCCAATATCAGTCCAAACATTCAAATCATCTATATAATCTGTCTCTCGTTTCCTACTTTCCTCCCTGACCTCCCATTAATCCCTTGCGGCTTTACCGCAACTCACAAATTACTCTGTGGACACAGCCACTGGGCGCTATGCAAGCCCAAGCCCAACTTACCAATCAGGGGGACGCTGGCATTGCCCCGTCTCGTATTTTGCGCCTAGCGTGCTGCGCACGCCCGAATACCCGTCACGGGGACATTGCCCGCTTCAATGGTTTAGCTTGCATCGATAGTTCTCCAATCCCAGGTAGACCGAGGTAGACAAATCCGAGAATGAGGCTCTTGCTGACGAAACACCCTGCGAACCCGGGTGCGCGCCCTTCTGGACTTGTTAGTGATGGACGATCTGCTGCAGGAATAAGACCTCTCGAGAGGCTCTTTACTTTTCTCTTCCCTCTATCTCTATCTCTCTGATACCACGCCGTATGTCATATATGTCATACGTGACAGGCGAACACCTCTTTAATATATGCCTTTTCGGTTGCTCTATTCTAAGTCGCCGTCGGAGGCGGATAACATGCAATGCCAGCGATTCCTGAATTTGCCTCCGGCTTAGCGAACGATCTTGTGCATCGTGCTACCCTTGCATCGCCCCCTAATGTGACGGGAGTTGTTCCAGTCCTTGAGGTTGTCTGCGCCTGGCCGGTCTCTGGTCAGTATGGACCCGGCACCCGCGTTTTGTATGTTCTCCACCGTGGTATGGCAGTGTTATCCACATATACTGATACCGCTACAGATATTATGTCTTGATTGCAGCTTGTGTGGTTGCTCGGAAGGTGGAATTCATTCGGAATGCCTGTCTGGCTGCTGTGCTACTTTTCCCCGCTGTGGCCGCTCTACATGGAATTGTTCTAGCAGTGCTGCACGTTGATGGTAAGTCTTCAGTACAGGAGAATAATCCACATCTTTATAAAGGTAAAAGTGTCTAACATTCTACAGGAGCCGTCGACATGGACGTCTACGGTGCTTTCCAACTATGCGCAATAGGCATCCTAACTGCCCCAGCAACTGTCCGCCTATCCCAAACCTATTTCAACAACCCAGGCCGGGATCTGATCTTCTTATGGACAGTCCTTCTTCTCGCCGGGCTTCTAAGCCTGATAGTGGAATTTATGCGCCTCGAACCCACCGTCTGTCCAAATAACGACCAAGGGGGTATCGAGTGGGCAACAACGAATAAGTTTCCATACGGGGCAAACTGCAGTATGAGATGCACTCCGGAAGATGGTCCAATCTCACATTTGCGTCAAGGCTCCGCCGACAATATATACGTGGTTCCAACGCCTTTTCAATTGACTTTTAACACCACAACCCTTCTCGCCGCTGCGTGCTGTGTTCCAGCTATTTTGCAATTGGTTTCTATGTGGATTAAGATCATGGATGCTAACTGGGAGAAATTCTCTCGTGGGGAGAAGAAGAAGCCTGATGAGGCTATTGAGGGCACTAATGGGGCTACTCTCAATCATATGACAGGCATTACTGAGAAGATACGTAGCTGGCTGGCTCTCATTGAGATTCCAATCTTTGCTGCAGCTGTCATGTTCATTCTTGTCAAGGGAGAGATGAACTTTTGGAGTGGGCCGGTGTATTATCAAACAGAGCGGATAGCGAGTATAGGTAAGTCAGCTACCCTTGAGATGATTTGTTTAGATAGCTACTAACACTGCCCTTCCAGGCCAATGGGCACCAATAGTCGGCACAGGTCTCGCTGTGTTCGGATCTCTATACCTCCTAGTCTCAGCCGACATCGACGCAGAAGGAAACAATGACAACAACAACAACAACCAACAAGAATCCCAGCAACCCCGAATGGTAATAACAACAACATGCAGCAAATGTCAAGGCTGCGCTATATCCTCCGACACAGAATCCAGCAATAATTCCCGGCGCGACTCAGGCACAAATACAGAAGGCCAAGCCGCCGAAATCGAACTACCAACGCCAACACGAACGCCCACAGTCCAAACCCAAACAGACGTCGGCGGCCGACGACGAGTCGCCCGCTTCTTCAACACAGTCAGCACAGCGATCACCGCAAAAGCAGCCAAACAAACCGAAAAATCAGGCTTCAAACAAGAAGAACGAACAACATATCCCACAACGCCAGGCGAAAATTTCCGGAACCCAAAATTGGCCGAGGATATAAGTATCTACAACCATTCCCCGACGCCCATTGACGGACGCTCCAGAGCAGGCAGTTTCATGAGTATAAGCCGGGACTCGGATAATGGCGAAGGGAGTTCGAAGATGCCGCGAAATCGCAGTCGCAGTCCAGCCCCGGTTCGTCATTCATCCTTACCAGCTCATGTCCGACCCCCGCCACGCTCGGTGACTCGTCCGTCGCATTCGAATTCCGAGCCTGAGGGGGGTCTGTTTGGATCTTCTTTGTTGGGGTGTCCTCCGTCGCCTCACTCGGCCATTAGTGAGTGGAGGATGAACTTGAGTCCTGTTTCTGGTCAGACACCTGAGGGGAGGAGTAGGACTACTTCTGTTTCGGATGTTAGCCCCTCTACTACTGCTCCTACTATGTCTGGGGTGCAGACTGTTCCGACGATACATGTGTCTAGTCATGAGGGTTCTTGAAGGTTTAGTTTGGGATTTGGTTTGGGTCTTATATGGTGGGTTTATGGGTTAACGTTACTGCTACGCCGCTTTATGACTTGATGACTTGGGTTTTGGATGGGTAGATGGTTCGGTGTATTATTGGTATGTATATATAGAATGTTCTATAGATAATACTGCATTTCATGAAGAAAGTACTCATCCTTGATTAATGGGCCGGCTGGTACTATTTAGACATCGAGGAACACTGGCATCCATCTTAGGTGGACTGCCTTGAATGATGGCGATATTTGGGCATACGCATAGGTCTTTTGAATATAACTTAAGACAGAGGACCCACCATATACTATACAGTAGATGTCTGCCTACGTCAGTCCCCAGTATAATAAGCAAGCCAGCGGCACAAGACCCATAGCAGTCAAAAGCACGAGTCGTAGTACTCCGTAGCAGCAACAAATCCCGAAATTGCGCCTTGAAGATCCCTGCCAAGAGCGAGGCGCAGACACGACTGTCTCAGGCGCATGGACCAATATTGGAATATTTTTCACTAGTCCGGCGCCCTACCTCGGCGCAGTTCTTTGTCTGGGTGAGACTCGGGTCTCAAATATGGAAAGGGGGGATACGCATACACAATGAACAGAACTACATCATAGTAATGATACTCGAAAGACTACGCCAATTGGAACGAACAAGTGAAAGACAACGAATTTGAGTCAAAAATCTCGTATTCGTCTTGCATACGCCGATCCATTCTCCTTTTCTTTGAAAATCTTCGTAGCACGAGCATGGTCATCGTAGTCATCATTGCTCTCCGGCGCAATGCATAGAACGAGATCTCATCAAGAGATCGATCATTCCACGTTTGCCAGCATGCGCGATGGTAAGCTTTTGTCTTTTTTATGGTCGAATGGGTGGTCCATCAGTGGTATTGAACAAGAGAGGTCCGAAGATACTCCAAAGGGAAGAAATTCTATCAACATGAAGGTGAAGAAGGCAGATGTAAATAGTGAAGGCGGCCCGCTAGGGGCACGCGCAAAGGGCAAAAAATGTGTGAAAGTGAGTGGAAGAAGGGTAATAATAAGGCCCAGTTCTCCAAGAGAGTGTTCGGAGGCTGGGAAAGAAATGTAAAAAATGTCAAGTGAGAACCATAAAATCAAAGTGAAAGAAAAGAGTCGTCAAGACCGTTTTCGCTTGCTCCATCTACCAGAGATGTACCCATTGCTCGTAGCCTATCAATGTCAACGCACGATCGACGCGGCGCTTAGTTGATGTACCACTTGGCGCCGGTGACACGGCCGGCACCCATGGAGGCAAGCTGGCCGAAGAGGTGGCGGGACAGATCGATGGAACTGTCGTCGCAGCCCATGCACTTGTCGACGACGGTACCGGTGGCAGTGACGCCGTTGTACTCGATGGTGACGGACTTGCCGCAGTCACCGTCCTTCATGATGCCAACGGGCAGGGCCAGGACGTTCTCGGTGGTGCCGTCGTTGGTGGTGCCGCAGGAGCTGGGGTTGGTGGAGGTGGTGGCGGTGTCGTAGTAGGTAATGTCACCGTCGCAAGGAGAGCTTAAGGAGCAGGCGCCGGTGTAGCCGGTGCTGGCGGTGGTCTCGACATTGGCAGAAGGGGTGGTAGCGGGGACAGCGCTGGAGGTGGTGGGCTCCGGAGCAGGGGCAGGGGCTGGAGTGGTGGTCTCAGCCTCCTCGGTGGTGGCAGGAGCAGGAGCAGGAGCTGCGGTGGTCTCAGCCTGCTCAGTGGTAGCAGGAGCGGGGGCGGGAGCAACGGCCGAGGTGGTGGTAGGCTCAACCTTCTTCTCCTCAACAGCAGCCTGGGTGGTAGGGACCGCAGCAGCGTTCACGGGAACGATGGTGGCAGTGGACGTAGGAGCCTGGTTGGGGTAGAGAGTGGTGGTGACATCGACGGTGGTCCAGACGACGTCAGTAACGGTCTCCCAAACGACAGCGCGCTTGGCCACAGGAGCGGCGTAGCCGGTCAGAGCAAAGAAAGCGCCAGCGAGGGCGAGAGTCTTGGTGATAGGGGCCATTGTAAAGGTTTGAATCTCAAATGAGTGGATTTTAAATGATTGATCACTGCACAGCAGTATGTTCGACAAACTCAAAAGGAGTGTGAGTATTGAAGAAAAGGAAGGAATGGACCGTTGAGGCGTGTGGAGGAGAAGAAAGAAAGAAGGGGAGAAAGTGGAAGTTATATATGGGATCGGGCCTAAGGCCAGGACCCACTTCAGCCAGGAGCCCTTCATCTTCCCTTCCATCTTCCATCTTCCATCTTCCAGTCTACACAACTACACATCTTCGCATGCAGATTCCTCGTCTACCATCAGTACCCGATCCCGGATTCCCCGGAGCCTGATTGAAAGCTGTACAACAATGCCAGTTGTTCCTGGCGCTAAGATCTCTCGAGCCTATGGGCAGTGCGGTGAGCCACAGTCGCCTCCGTACCTGGCAGACCCATCAAGCCACGCTGATGGGATAAAATTCTGAGGGATACCATATCCGCCTACAGTACACTAATAGTACTTGGTTCCTACTCTCCAGCAGATCCCTTTATCTGCGACTTCTAACATCCAGTCACCTTGCAAATGACGTGTATTCCAGTCTCGTATCCTCGCAACCTCACAACCTCACAACCTGCAGGGGGACTGGTCAGAATCTGCAGCTTTGTCTGACGATGTGATTGGTGTGTGCCTGTACCTGTAAGACAAGCAGTCCAAGCCAATCCGGTGGACGACGCGGGCATGGCGGGTTAGCCCTCGCTCCACCTAACGGTCTGGACTTCTTTGAGCATTTTTTAGTGGGAAATAGTGCCGATCTGTCAAGTCAATTTGTAGAGTTGGAATCATATTTAGACTGTATGGCAATGAACCTCTGGGTCAATCCCTTTCATACAAATTCCCCCTACAAACACCCTCCTAAGCTATGTCCCAACCCCTTATAGCCCTACCCAACGCAGGGCACACAGTAATACCCGTACCGTCCCACTTCACATGTACATACATAACTCCAACCACATCCAGCACTAATCTAAATCCCAATCCCGATTTGAAAGTACAAACGACCTTCCAAACCATTCCAGAAAGCAATCCACGCAAGTACCATCTACATCTTGAACCCCCCACTCACCACCACCCTAGCAAATACAACATGATCTACTATATGCAAGCCATATTCTAGACCCGTCCAGCCGAGAGGGAAAGACCCTGTCGCACCAATAGGGCCTGAGACATGGTAGAGACACGTCAGGAATCTGGTTAGGATCCATATCTGCTGCTTCTGTCCAGTCTTTTTTGCTCCACTCACTGCCGATCAGCCAGTCCGTGGGATGGGGTGGGGGTTGAGGGGATTGCATTTGGCTTGGAGACGTAGGTAATTTTGGACTATGCTGTGTATGTTCTATATTAGCATAATCCTAATATTTGGGTTGTATTTGTAGAGAGTTTGTCTTGGAATACGGGCTTGGTGCGTTATCCGGGTACATGAGGTAAATGTACTTACGTTAGTAGATGTAGGATGTAGGATGTGGCTTCGGCACCAAGGTACAAGTATAATGTACAGTAGAGCATGAGATATGTATACTGTACTCCTCCCGAGGACATCCGACACCGGAGCAAAAATCTATAGGATGTAAGGTACAGACAACAAAAATGAAAGAAAAGATTTCTGCAAACCAGTCATTTCCTACTCTCACACTCATAACAAGGAAGAAAACCCAAAACCAGAACCCCCGAGGCTTCCGAACATAAGAAAATGTAACATAAAAAGATAAATCCTGATCCTCGTGGCAAAAAAAAAAAAGTAGAGATTAAAAAAAGAGGAACTACGTACTCTGTGGCTTGGATACGATACCCGTCGAACCAAAACTCGAACGAACAGCGGGTGTCGAGAGGTGTTTCATTAAATGAGTTTGCTTTTACCGGGGGATAAAAGATTGGATGGACCAGATTCAATTTTGTGGTTCCTTTTGGCATCTTGCCTTTAATTCTTGGTTCTTGTCATCGCCGGATCGGGAAATGCCGTTTTCTGCCTGGTTGCGCTTTGTTGGGAGGTCGGGGGATTTCGGTTTCAGGTTGGGGTTATGGGTTGAGTTGTGCAGTGTGAGGATGGTTAATCGAAGATCTGGTATGGTTAGTGTGATCATTGGATGTTTAGACGGATTATGTCTGCAGAGTTGGGAGATGCGCATAGATTGAGGACACTATATTTGGGTACTACTCGGAGTTGGTTACTGCAAACTACATTAAGGAGAATATAGTGATAACATAACACGTTGTTGAACTGATACTAAAAAGTACAAAAAATCTTGAATCCGCGCCAAACTCACAAACAAAGGGAAAAAGTCCATCAATCTCATAATATAGGTACACGTGAGAAGCCAGCAGAAAGCATGGCTATGCGAGAAACGCCAACATCCAAAAGTATTCTATTAGAGAACAGGTTCAAGTTTAACCCTGGCACATGAGGCAAGCCTCCTTGTTCTCAATGCTGCATTGGAGAACAGCGTCAGAGAAGATATCACCCTCACGGGCTTCGCTCTCGCCGGCGGCATCCTCAGGCTGAGCTTCGGCGCTGTTGGCTTCAGCGGCGGGGAGGTTAGGCTCACGAGAGGCAGCAGCCATAGGGTCGGCGATCAGAGTACGGGGACTCTCCTCGGGGGCAGCGCTGACGTTGGCAGTGGCGGGCTGGGTGCCGTTGGAACGGGGGACAGCGGAGTAGGCGGCGGTAGCGGTGCCGGCGGTGCGCTTCTTGGAGCGGGCGACGTTGGTGTCCTCGACCTTGAGCTGCTCCTGGTCGACGGTGAACTGGATAGGAGCAGAGGCGGCCATGGTGCGCAGGTAGTACATGCCGGTCTTCAGACCCATCTTCCAGCCGGCGAAGTGCATGGAGGTGATCTTGCCCATGGTGGGCTCCTTCAGGTGGATGTTCAGGGACTGGGACTGATCGATATAGGCACCGCGGTCGGCGGCCATCTGCAGGATGTTACGCTGGGAGATTTCCCAGACAGTC